TCGCCAGACCTAGCCGTGGCACCAACAGACCCAATTGCCGCCGTAGACACAGCGTCGTCCGGACCGAAAAACACCCCAGAATGTCCTAAGTCGCATAAGGGGACCGCTAGGAACCGTGACGAGGGGGCTCTCACTGAGGACCATATCAGTGAGATACAGCCCCCGCAATGTGAGCATGATCCCGTAAAATCGCTTGTCCTTGAAGCAGGTAACAATCTTTTACGCCCCTGGAATAGTGACCGACCGGCAATTTGCGCAACAACGACGTCATGGAACATATCAGCGAAGTTGGCGGCCGACGCAAGTAAGGACACGGTTGAGAAAACGGCAGAAGAGCTGGTCCCTACCCGGTATCATCGTTACATCAACATGTTTCGTAAGAGTAAGGCCATGACCCTCCCACCGCACCGACGTTACGATTTCCGAGTCGATCTGATCCCTGGGGCCACACCGCAAGCCGGAAAGATTATACCACTATCACCTGCCGAAGAAGTGTAAAAACACGTGTGCCTCGAGAAGTTCAGTTCTGATCTGAATAGATCACGGCCTAAGAAGCTGTTCAAAAATGGATACACCTGAGGGCAACAGGGTACGTTGATCAGACTAGCTTCTGGCTTGTCGACAACGACTCTAAAGAACTGACCTGAGGGCAACAGGGTATGTTGATCAGACTAGCTTCTGGCTTGTCGACAACGACTCTAAAGAACTGACCTGCGAGCTCAGAAAGATTCGTGAGGAGCACGCGGCGAAACAGTTAACAGACAAATTAATGATAATGATTCTTTTCGACAGTCACACACCTGAGGGCAACAGGGTACGTTGATCAGACTAGCTTCTGGCTTGTCGACAACGACTCTAAAGAACTGACCTAAGTGTTAGAGAGAAAGAGATATCAGAAAAGAAAAACACACAACAAAGAGTTAAAAGATAAAAGCCATCTACCTGCGAGCTCAGAAAGATTCGTGAGGAGCACGTGGCGAAACAGTTAACAGACAAATTAATGATAACTGAAGATGAAAAGAGTAGAAACAAAGATAATAGAGAATTGAAAGAGTAGTTAGTAATCAAAGATGAAAGAGACTCTAACAAGAATAAAAATCACTTACTGATTCTTTTCGACAGTGAAAAGAATCAGAACACGCGAAGAGAAACTGAGAGAGAAGTATATAAAGAGAAGAAAAACCCCTGTGTACAACATTCACCCCTTTCCTCAACAACCACACTAGTCTCACAGCACATCAACTTGCATTGAGTTGCCTTTTCCAAACTAGCCTAACCAACACTTAACACAAACACTTCAACCTCCTACCAGCCAACTACCTTTTTCCTTAACTCGTAACTTCCAACCTTTGTAATGATCTTTGACCAAACCTCGGATATATCCTTATATCCCAACACACCCCCTCAAAGAGCATTACACTAAAAATCTTAGACCTAGGTGTTTTCTTAAAGTTGAGAATTGATCTTTCGGTAATTGTTTTGTGAGAAGATCAGCCACCATCAGGTGCGTCGGGCAATGTTTCAATACAAGATCACCTTTCTTGACAACTTCACGAATCCAGTGATAGTGTATCTCAATGTGTTTTGTGCGAGCATGAAATATTGATTTTGAAGTTAAGTGAATAGCACCGAGATTGTCGCTCTGGAGAACAGTAGGGTTGGGATCCTCAAAGCCAAAACGCAGCATCATGTTACGAAGCCATAGAAGTTCTTGGCCCGCCTCTGTTATGGCACGGTATTCAGCCTCAGTAGACGACAGAGCTACGGTGGGTTGAAGTCTACTACGCCAAGAGATGGGACCACCAGCCAAAACGAACACATATCCAGTTGTCGAACGGCGAGTGTTAGGGTCCCCAGCCCAGTCTGCATCACAGTGAGACACCGGGCATTCATAACTTCGTTGACCAGAAACCACAGAATTAGCGACGCCAGAGTACACTATCCCCACATTTACAGTATGAAGTAGATAACGGAGGACATGATTTGCAGCCGTCCAGTGTTGCATTCCAGGACGTTCAAGATGCTGAGACAGCACCCCAACCGCGTGAGCAAGATCCGGTCGTGTGCACTGCGCTAGGTACATCAACGAGCCGACAACACTTCGGTAGGGTAATTTAGTGAGTGCAAAATCTTCAGCTTCCTTATCCGTCGATCTGAGGAGTTTGACGTTAGGAGAGAGAGGAGTAACTGCAGGTTTTCCATCCAACATGTTGAACCTTTTCAAAACAGACACAGCATATTGATCTTGAGACATTGAATAAGAGAATTCGTTTAGGCGTTGAATTTGAATTCCCACCACGGTATTGGCAATACCAAGGTCCTCCATTTCCCACTTAGAGGAAATTTCTTTCTTGAATCTGATGATGTCATTACCCGTGATAGCTAAGTCATCCACATGTACATAAACAGCAGTAAAAAGGTTCTTTGGTTTGTCAGATCTGATATAAATGCAATGATCTATTTTGCATTGTTCGAAACCAATCTCAATAAGAAACTCCTCAACGTCATCTTGCCAAATCTTCGGTGATTGCTTAAAACCGTAAAGAGCTTTCTTCATTCTCCAAACCTTTTTGAAAGTTGAAGCAGTCCTGTATCCTTCAGGTATCTCGACATAGAGTTCTTCTTCGATGTTGCCATTAAGGAAAGCAGTAACTGCATCCATTTGGTGTATCTCCCATCCGTAGATTGATGCAATACACACAAGGAGTCGAAGAGAGCCAGGTTTCCCAGTAGGGGCAAAGGTTTCGCCGTAGTCCTGACCTGGGATCTGAGTGTTTCCCATGGCCACATAACGAGCTTTAAACTTGATTTTTCCGTCCACTAGTGACTTCTTTCAAAAGATCCACATTCCTCTAATCACGTTGTGATTCTCTGGACGATCCACAAGAACCCACACCCCCTTGTTCTTCAGAGAGTTGAACTCTTTTTCACACGCCTCCTTCCAACGATCACACTCTGAGGACTCCATAGCCTTCTTGTACGATTTCGGGTCAGGCACCGAGAAAACATCTGCACTAAAACACTCAGCAGGTAAACAATTAAATACCGCTTCAGTAACGAAATCGTCAATAAATTCCGCAACAGAACACATTCCTTTTAAGGTGCTGTGCTTCTTTTGAGAAGTTCTGGTCGAGCGTCTAGGTTCCGAAGCTTCTGTCGGGGGGTGGACTTTATCAGATGGTTGATTAGGTAATTGGGAAACTTGGTTTTCGTCCGGAATGGTCACAAGAGGAACAGAATCTTGACACTCTTCATTGCTTTCGTCATCAAAGAATTTGACGTGCACAGGTGGAGGAAGTTTGATTGACAGATCAGATGAAATCATTGGACGAGAAGAGGGAAGTAATTTAAAAGGATAGATATCTTCATTGAAAGTGGTATGATGCGTAATGTAAATCTTTCTAGAATTGAGATCAAAGATGTGATAATTAAAGTTGTCCTGTTCATACCCAACAAGAACTCCCTCTGAGCTAACTGGTGAGAATTTCGTTTCTCTGAGTTCTTTTCTGATAAGACCGAAAACTTGGCAACCAAACACGCGTAGATGGGAGATAGTTGGTTTCCTAAAGTACCACATCTCGAATGGGGTCACACCAGCGTTCAGGGCGGTTGTTACACAACGATTCGTAAGAAACACCGCAGCTTTACAAGCTAAATACCAGAAGGAAATGGGAACACCGGAATCCAGCATCATCGAGCGCGCCCTGGTAATCACTATGCGATTACCACGCTCGGAGACGCCATTTGCCTCGGGTTCATGACCGGCCGTCAGGTGTAAAACAATTCCCAGTTCTTTGAGTTTAGAACCGAGCAGATTATTAAGAAATTCTCCACCCCTATCCAGGGTGAACTGTTTTACTGAGCAGCTAGTTTGTCTCTCACAGACAGCTATGTATTCCAGAAACACATCATAGACTTCTTCTTTTGATTTATGTGAAAGAGGATAGATGTGTCGAAACGAGGATAAATCATCACAGAATAATATGTAATAACTTTCATTGTTCAGGCCTGGGTTCCGCATGATACCACTAACATCTACATGGACGTTTTCCAGAAAGGTTCTAGCACGAGGACGAGTATGATTATGTGGGATTTTGGTATTTTTAGACAATGAACAAATTTCACAATTTCCAATATCCTCAAAGTGGTCCAACTCCTCAACACTTCCATGCTTTTCCATCAATTTGATGTATTTAGAGCTTACATGCCCTAGTCGACGATGTTGAAGCAGAGAGTTGATTTCAGTGTTTGAAGTTGAGGCGGAAGATGAAGTGACCTGACTCACAGGTTGGAGTAGGATAAACATCAAGTTGTTATCGGATATAAATCCGTTGAAGATGGCCAGTCCGTCCAAGACCAAGGAGAAATTCTTGCTGTCGTGAAAGATCTCACGAACTCCCAGTTTCTTGAGAAGTCCACCAGCAACGAGATTTCGGGATAAATCGGGAACATAAAGACAGTTCTTTAATTCAAAGAGACTATCATCACCAGCCAAAAGTTTTGCAACACCTCGACTGTGGACTGACAGTGTCATGTCTCCACCGGCGAGTCTTAGACGTTTACTGGCATCATCGATCCGAACTAACGATGATTTGTCAAAGAATTTGTCATCTTTGAACATGTGGTGAGTCGCACCGGTGTCGTGAAGGGCCCAGTCGCGGGAATTTGACAGAGCAGCGGATACGGAAGCTTCAACCGTAGGGTCTTCCTCAAACACGGATGGCGAAGCAGAGAAAACTGAGTCATCTTTTAACGCCACTTGAGTAGTTCCTTCAACAAGTTCAATGTTCAAAGAGAGGTACGCGAAGCTAGCGGAGGCAGTGTTCACATCCGAATCGAACACGTTCTTAACACCCCTGACTGAAGATGAAGATGAGGTATGATTAGAAGCTTGATGGTTTGAGGTATCTACGGATGAGGTTCCAGAACGACCACGAATTTTCGCTAGAAAAGCTTTGCGTTTGTCCGCATTTTCAGGTTTGGACCAACAATTTTTAGCCATGTGTGGTCCAACGCAGTTATCAGGAGTACAGCCATTTGACGAATCCGGTTTTGCGTTTCGAGCTGAAACCGAGTGGACTTCCCTGACGGTAGAACAGGACCAACCATGGCGTTCTTCGTATCTGCGGAGATACCTAGCTACACCTTCCCTAGTAAGGGGAACAACAGTATTGTGGATATACTCTTTCGATTCGATTGAAAGAGACGGAATCGCAGAGAGAAGCATTCGAGCTGATTGTACATCAGACATTTCTCCCTTCAACCGGTAGAATTCTCGAATAAGATTTTCGAACTTATCGACAAACGACGTGAGAGTGTCGGACTTGCTGATCTGACACGCATACAAGGATCTGGTGACAACCTCGAGCTTGTCTTCAGAGATACGATTATGGTACTCCTTGAGGAAGGACCAGCAGAGATACGGGTCGTAAATGATTTCCGTAACATCCTCCGGGTTAGTGAGATGATTCCGAGTTCGAACTTTGTTGACTTGATGAAGATGACTTAGTATGTACGTCGTTAGATTGAATTTAGTCTTTTCATTTTCTTCTGGAGACATAGAATCGTTTGCAAAGTTCTTGACTTTAACAAACTGATGAAGATCGAGTGACATAAACACCTCCATGAGGGACTGGCTCCACTCGGTATGATTTTCGGCAGTGAGAACATCTGACACTTTGAATTTGCTCAAAGAGTTCACCATATTTTGTGAGAACTTTTGCACAGAGTTCCCAAAAGTCCTGGAATCCAAAGATCCCGGCATGGTAGAGTTGGTACCTGGTAAAGAACTAGTCATTTCAGAAGTAAGATCGGCAGGATTTGGATGAACCGTTCGAAATGAATCGGCTGAGTTGGACGAAGTGGAACCTTCGGTGACGGTAGAATGATCCAAAGATTCGGAGTCGATATCTTTGAGATTCATAAAATTGGACTGGTCGATAAGATCGCAAGTTCTCTCGCTACCATGTAAAAACACGTGTGCCTCGAGAAGTTCAGTTCTGATCTGAATAGATCACGGCCTAAGAAGCTGTTCAAAAATGGATACACCTGAGGGCAACAGGGTACGTTGATCAGACTAGCTTCTGGCTTGTCGACAACGACTCTAAAGAACTGACCTGCGAGCTCAGAAAGATTCGTGAGGAGCACGCGGCGAAACAGTTAACAGACAAATTAATGATAATGATTCTTTTCGACAGTCACACACCTGAGGGCAACAGGGTACGTTGATCAGACTAGCTTCTGGCTTGTCGACAACGACTCTAAAGAACTGACCTAAGTGTTAGAGAGAAAGAGATATCAGAAAAGAAAAACACACAACAAAGAGTTAAAAGATAAAAGCCATCTACCTGCGAGCTCAGAAAGATTCGTGAGGAGCACGTGGCGAAACAGTTAACAGACAAATTAATGATAACTGAAGATGAAAAGAGTAGAAACGAAGATAATAGAGAATTGAAAGAGTAGTTAGTAATCAAAGATGAAAGAGACTCTAACAAGAATAAAAATCACTTACTGATTCTTTTCGACAGTGAAAAGAATCAGAACACGCGAAGAGAAACTGAGAGAGAAGTATATAAAGAGAAGAAAAACCCCTGTGTACACACTGTAAACATCATTCAACTTCCCCAATTTGGCAGAGGAAAATGATTAATAGTACAGTTTTTCATAAAAGAATCTAATACTGCACACCTGGGCCATTTCACCCACACTACATATGTGCAGCAAGCTAAGTCAATAGTTGTCTATCATGTACATACAGGTCTGCTCAGTTTTTTGCCCATCAGAATAAATAAATCACATGTTATACCACATGTAACTTTTTCGACTTTGAAATTTTTTTCCCAAAAATTCACTACATATAATTCTGTAGCTGCTCAGGCAATATTGTTGAAGCTATGTCTTAGTAACAGAAAGTGTGTTACATGCAGTTGAGTTGATGAGATCACACCAAAACATTGAGTCAGTGTATGTAGTCAATCTTTTGGAAGCTTTTTTCAATCTGAAAGAAGTTACAGCATGTATTACATATGAATAACTTGTCCTGATGAGCAGATAACTGAGCAGAACTGTATGTACATGATAACCACATATTCACTGAGCCTGCTACACATATGTAGTGTGGGTGTTATGGCTCAGGTGTGGAGTGATAGACCATTTTATGACAAATCATACTCCCAATCATTTTTCCCTGCCCACTTGGGGAACCCGAATAATGTCTGCAGTGACAACATTCACCCCTTTCCTCAACAACCACACTAGTCTCACAGCACATCAACTTGCATCGAGTTGCCTTTTCCAAACTAGCCTAACCAACACTTAACACAAACACTTCAACCTCCTACCAGCCAACTACCTTTTTCCTTAACTCGTAACTTCCAACCTTTGTAATGATCTTTGACCAAACCTCAGATATATCCTTATATCCCAACAAGAAGTTGCATTAGATAAAATGATTGATGAAGGTCTTGAAAAGGGAACAATACGACGTACGAAATCTCCTTGGGCAGCCCCAGTCCTGTTTACCGGCAAAAAAGATGGGAACCTTTGGCCGTGTTTTGACTACCAAAGATTAAATGCACTGACCGTAAAGAACCGATACCCGTTGCCCCTAACCATGGAACTCGTCGATAGCCTACGTAACGCTGAAAGGTATACCTCCCTCGACATGAGGAACGGGTATAATAACCTACGGGTACACGAAGGAGATGAATCGAAGTTAGCCTTCATCTGTAAAAGGGGCCAGTTCGAGCCACTGGTGATGCCCTTTGGCCCAACGGGAGCTCCAGGATACTTTCAGTTTTTCATCTCAGATATCTTCCGTGAAAGGATTGGAAAGGACTTAGCTGCTTATCTCGATGACCTCCTCATCTATACGCCGGCGGGTGTTGACCACGAACAAGTTGTAGAAGAAGTGCTGAAGACATTAGCGGAACATTCAATATGGTTAAAACCCGAAAAATGTAAATTCTCTCAAAAGGAGATTGCGTACCTAGGACTGTTAATCTCAAAAAACCAAGTACGGATGGATCCAGTCAAGGTATCTGCGGTACGAGAATGGCCAGCACCAAAAACAGTGAACCAAATCCAACGATTCCTAGGTTTTGCCAACTTCTACAGAAGGTTTATTGGCAACTTTTCCAAAATCACCCAACCCCTGCATGAATTGACGAGAGACAACGTACGTTTTGAGTGGACACCAGCACGGGACAAAGCCTTCGAATCCTTGAAAGAGGCCTTCACCACCGCGCCTATCTTGAAAATAGCCGATCCTTACAAGGCCTTCGTGTTGGAGTGCGATTGTTCTGACTTCGCACTCGGAGCCGTGTTATCCCAAGAGGACGTCGACGGAGTACTACACCCAGTCGCCTTCTTATCCCGGTCGCTCGTCCAGGCTGAGAGGAACTATGAGATATTCGATAAGGAGTTGTTAGCAGTGGTTGCCTCCTTCAAGGAATGGAGACATTACCTTGAGGGAAACCCCAATCGACTTGAAGTCGTAGTGTACACAGATCATAAAAATTTAGAAACATTCATGACGAACAAGCAACTTACCAGAAGACAAGCTCGATGGGCGGAAATGCTTGGGTGTTTTGACTTCCACATCCGTTTCAGACCTGGAAGGCAAGGGACCAAACCAGACGCTCTATCACGCAGACCGGACCTAGAGCCAACGACCGACGAGAAATGGTCGTTCGGATCTCTGCTGAAACCCTCTAATCTATCTGAGTCCTCATTCACGGCTGAACTTGATTATGTTGAAGCGTGGTTCGGAGATGAAGGCATCGAGAATTCAGAGGTCGAAGAGTGGTTCGAACAAGATATCAAGCAGGACCACGTACCCGATCAACTCCATGTTGACGCAATTGATCGTACGCCTAACTCAAATGGAGCCCTATGGACTGACGACATGATTCTCCATCGAATTCAAGAGGAATCAAAGGTAGACCAACGAGTGCAGGACCTGATGTCGGCGGTTGAGGCACAAAGCAAACATCTACCAGTCGGTTATGTTGTTGCGGATGGGGTGCTGTATCGGAAGGGAATCGTGGAAGTGCCAGATGACCCAAAGGTGAAACTCGAGATCCTTCGGAGCCGGCACGACAGTTTGTTAGCCGGACATCCCGGAAGAGCAAAGACCCTGAGTTTAGTCCAACGTCAGTATACTTGGCCATCGGCGAAAGCATATGTTAATCGCTACGTAGATGGGTGCGAATTGTGCTTACGGACCAAGTCATCAACAGCAAGCCCTTTTGGGACACTGGAACCTTTACCCATACCGGCAGGGCCCTGGACCGATATTAGCTATGATTTGATTCCTGAGTTACCTCTCTCCAATGGCATGAATTGCATACTTACAGTCGTTGATCGTTTGACAAAGATGGGCCATTTCGTTCCATGCACGACGGAGATGAACGCAGAAGAATTGGCGACGGTGATGTTGAAAAACATATGGAAATTACATGGTACACCTAAGACAATCGTATCGGATAGGGGAAGTGTGTTTGTGTCAAAGATTACAGAGTCACTAAACAAACAGTTAGGGATCGAGTTGCATCCGTCGACGGCGTTCCACCCAAGATCGGACGGCCAAACTGAAATCGTCAATAAAGCTATCGAGCAGTACCTACGCCATTTCGTAGGCTACCGGCAAGACGACTGGGAGGGACTCTTACCGTTAGCCGAGTTCGCGTACAATAATAGTACTCATTCTTCTACAGGGGTATCTCCATTCAAGGCGAATTTAGGGCATGACCTGTCGTTAGGACGAATTCATTCAAATGAGCAATGTATCCCAGCAGTTGAAAGAAGATTGAAGGTAATTGAAGAAGTACAAGAGGAGCTTACCAAAAATTTGAAGAGAGCCCAGGTGTCGATGAAAGCACAATTTGACGAAGGAGTAAGACCAACCCCGGAATCGAACATCAGAGATGAAGTATGGTTGAGTAGTCGCCATATCTCGACGACAAGACCAAGCACAAAACTTGATCATCGCTGGCTTGGCCCCTTCTCGATCACCAAGCGAGTGTTGACGTCAGCATACCGACTATCATTACCAGCATCAATGGGTAGAGTCCATCCGGTCTTTCACGTGTCGGTCCTGCGAAAGCACAATCCAGATTCGATTGACGGCCGAGTGCAAGAACCAATAGAGCCAGTTCAAGTCGAGGGTGAAGAGGAATGGGAGGTGAACGAAGTATTAGACAAACGAAGAAGAAGAAACAAAGATGAGTATTTGATCAGCTGGAAGGGATTTGGACGCGCAGATGACACATGGGAGCCACTAGCTAACCTTAAAAACGCTATTGAATTGATCGAGGAGTTTGATCGACAGTTTCCGAAGGCTGCAGAAGAACACCGAAGAAGGAGAAAGGTGTAAGTGAGGGGTACGGTTTTTTCCCACCGGGTTTTTTAATACCACCCCGGGGATGGAGGCAGGGCCGCAAACAGGGAGCCCGGGCCTAAAACGGGGGATAGTGTTATGATCTCTCTGACACGGGACTATAGGGATGTCACAATCCTGTGACAGGCAAGACCCAGAGCCGCACTTGTACCAGCTCTCGAGCCATCCATGCTTTGCTCCCTATGCTACAATAGCTATCATACGTGGATATCACTCTCTTTCCCTTTGCCCACGAACCCCAGACCCCCTGAAGCCGGGTCATAACATGAAATCAATATGACCCCCCAAACAATAATAGAAGAATCACACATAAATGCCACAAACATGGATATTGGAATCATTTAGACATCTACCTTTTCCTTTTCATTTGAACAGAAAGTCTAGGCCCAGTAGCCACAGTGATTCAAATATGTTGAGATTTTTGCTTTCAAAAGAAAATGAAACTCCTTCATAGTTTTGCTGGCAGTTCACATAGATTACAAATTGCCGCTCTATGACTGCTCCCACAATCAAGAACTTGGCAACTGTCTAGTACCCCACAACGTGCACACTCTGTGACTTCTTGGCGTCCTGAATTTGTGCAAGAATGGAAAAATCCAAGACATACCAAACATTTTATATCTGCCCTACATTCAATGCTGCAAGTTGTAATGCTTTGTTGCAAAGGACTTCCACAATCACGTTGCCCAGCCAAGGTTGTACCTGTCAATGCAAGCACAGATAGACAGGCTACCAATGTCCATGAAACACTTATATGGATCACCTCCTGATGTTTGAGCTTTGTTGATAAGTCTGACAAGTGATGCAGCTAATCTCAAATCCCAATATTGAAAAATATGAGATTTCTGTTTGTTCCTTTTTATTTGCCTATTCTATACCTGGAGAGTTGGGTGTCTTTCACTGATTGAAGGAAATATTTGGGAAAAGGTCCCCAAAACAGGATATTTCTCCTATGATGCAAGGATGTGGCCAGTTGCAGTTTCTAGCCAGAAAAAAACTCAAATGGTGTTTTAAACTTGAAAGAATTATAGAGCTGTTACCTTGTTTTGGAGTGGCTATACACACATGTGAAAATCTTGTAGGGGAATTTTAATCTGAATGCTTAGTTTGGTAGGCTTCTAATTGGTACAGCTAAGCTCTAGTCTCAGCAACACCATTTATGATTTTTATGTCTCACCTTTACTTCTTGTTGTGGTTGAAGAAACTGCAAGGCAGTCTTTGAAACTAAGATGTCTCCCTATAAGATGCAAAGATATCATCATGTCATCAGTTGCAGTGTGCAGTGAGAAAAAAAATTGAAACACTGGTTTGGATTAACTCGCAAGGCATACAGAGCTGGTGGCCTGCACTAAGTCTTTTCAAAATCAAAAAGCTTCTAAAGGCAAGTCACCCAGATAGAGCAAAGGACATCATCAATTGTTGCAGATTATAGGGGGGAGTTGGGTTTTATTGTGGAAATAAGGTAATGATTTCAAGTACTTGTTGCAAGATGTGAAAGAAAAAGTTCTTATCATCACAAGAGACAATGGGGTGAAAAAAAATGAGAAAGGGAATTGACCTTTATTGTGGTACTGAGTTGGAAGAAGCTGTGACACAAGAACAGGAGTTTGTGATTGTAGTAACAGAAAGAATTGAATTGATTGGAAGATTTTCAAATATTTTAGTTGAATGAAAATAGAGTAAAGGAATTTGCCAGTCAGTACCAATGAAGGACCTCAAATTGTGAGGATTTGAGGGACAAACAGCTCCCTTTATGATATTCAGGCCATCATTTGCCATGCTCACTGATAAACACCTTGTAGGCCAGATATCCCAGACATTTCCTCAGACCATGGTGGGACAAGCCTTTTTCTCCACAAGGATCTTTGCGGATCACTCACCCTCTTCCAATTTCCATCTATACCGTTTTTTCAGTCTACTGTTCCATAAAAACAATGCGTCAATTCCACTAAATTGTTTCAAGTTTGAGATATCCATCTTTTTCGACTTCTTTCGTTTAAAAGGATCTCCCACAATCTTAAATCGATCTTCTGACTTTTTTATTTCCCAGAGATGATTTCGATTGATTGCCTTCATACAAGCATGTGTACATATAACCGAATTCGGCGATAATATGATGTAGGAATGAAGGTATGCGCCAACAAGTATTTGTAAGTCTCGTTTTTTTGTCAAGTCTTCTGTTTTCAATCCTACAACCCGGCGAATATCGATGATACGCGAAAAATTGACGCCGGGAGTCTGACTTGAAACAGATCACCAAAACCACCATGACTTTTTAGGAGCTGTGGAGGATGTCGAATTTGAGGAACCATGTAAATTCTCCGACTGGATAGTATCATTTCCATCCCTTCCTTTCAATTGATCTTGATCAATAGATTTTGAAGTTGATGTCGATTGATTTGTAAGATTTGAATTAAGATCTTTTTGTTTGAGTTGATTTAGTTTTTCAACTACAGATTGAATTTGTTGAACTTCAACTTCATGTTTTTTACTACAATTATAAAAGGATATAGATGAAAGGAATATAAATGAATAAAAACCCCAATTTGCTGACGATCTTACACCTTTTGAAAGATGAAAGAAACATAAGTAAATGAGTTCATCACTTCGAAGCTCAAGAAAATAGAACAAAGGAAGAAGAAACGAATCTTACGTTTAGTTGATACCAGTCTTAAACCACCTATTGCAGAACCACCAACCAAACCGAATAAGAGTGCTTTTCGTTGACATGGCACCCTTGCAAATCTACCCTTCAGACTGTCAAATAAATCAAAGGACTTTAAGGACCTGATTAGCTAAAACGACTCCTTTACTTTGATTGATGTGAATAAGGTGTTAGATTGAAGATATCAATGTACCTGAAAAGCTTCCCATGTTGTTAGCTTTGGTGGGTTAGTAGGAGGTAGAGATGAAGGGCCTCCGGTTGAATCAGGACTTGAAGTTATTGTTGTCATATTGGTCAAAGAAATAGGGAAGACCTGACTTTGCAAAATTTAAACTCGATCTTCATTCAAAATCATTTTCGGGTCAAATTTAACATCCCGACCTGACTGGCCCGGGTGAGCCGGAGTAACACCCTCTAGCACCCCGCCCCGCATATATCTGAAATCGAAATTGAATTCCAACTGGTCAGCACAATCTTATTGACCATTTACCCTCATTTACCGTATTACTCAAGAAAACTCATTCTTATACCAACCATACCCATCTGATGATAATCATACTCAAACCAGAATAACCATGATAGGTTCAACAGATCCCGAAGAGGATGAATTCGGCATTGATGAAGCATTCGATAATTTACTTGCTACATTACCATTACCTGATTTCAATCCGAACACTTCATCCAACTCAACTGTATCTCATTCTCAATCTCGAAAACGGAAAGAAATACCTACCTCAAACAATGATGCCTCGACTCAATCGAACTGCTATGATGCCATCCAATTCGGACAAATAGGTCAATATATGGCTAACAAGCGACTTAAACTCAAAGTTCAAGAATCATTTCTTCGAGACGCCGATGGTTTGAAAGGTTCAAGGCCTCAATTCATGGCAGGTTTGGTGATCCATGTGAGCTTAAATATACCACGTTAAGTAACTTTCTTGAAAGCGTATACTAATGGTTGCCTCGTTTTGAATCAGGTCAATGGCTACACCACTCCACCTCTTTCGGAAATTCGTAAGATGATTGTGGTCCACGGCGGTACTTATATGGCTTATCTAGATCACAAGTCTGTTATCACTGTCAGTTCACTTCTGATAGCTCAAAAAAAACTCGCCACAAGCTAACCTTTGATTCCATCTCCTAGCACATTATCGCCACTGCTCTCACTCCCAAAAAACGCGAAGAGTTCCGTTTATATAAAGTTGTCACTCCGTCATGGTTGGTCGATAGTGTCGAAGCTGGAAGACTTCTCCCCTGGTCAGATTACACGCTCAATAGTGCTACCAAAAATATTTCCAAAAACATCATGGGAGGTGAGATCACCGGTGGTCTTCCTGGCGCTCAGCGGACGTTATTCTCCATGTCTAAGGAGTCTGGAAAACCTGGATTCACACAAGCCACCCCCAAACCAACTCAATCTTGTTCAATCTCAAAACCGAATCAAAACCATGCTGTAACCCTTATTGCAGTCTCAGACAAAGGCAAAGCGAAATATACACCCACTCCACCTCTCACCTCAGCTCCCACTACCTCTTCACCCGATCAAATACAGAGCGAGACTTCAACAAATAACCCGTGTGGTCCTCTACAAGACGCTGCGAATTCAATCAAACTTATTGATCATCAAGATGAAGTGACTTCCATTTTAGACTCTAATGCACCCAACTTCATCCAAGAATATTTCAGGCAATCACGCCTTCATCATCTGAGTACCTGGAAGGCTGATCTTTTACAAAAAGTATCAACATTGTTCGACCAGAAAGTGGGGCAAACTGGAAGGCACGTCCTTCCAAAGAAGCTGATTGGAGATGAGACCGATGGTCGAACGATCATGCACGTCGACTTTGACTGTTTTTTCATCTCAGCTGGACTCATCAAACGACCCGATCTCAGAGGAAAGCCCGTTGCTGTTTGTCATGCTCAAACTAATCAACCTACTGGTCAGAGGAGTACAAGTGAAATCGCCAGCTGTAGCTACGAGGCTAGAGCATTCGGAGTGAAGAACGGACAGTCGTAAGCCCGTTTATGCTGACCAATTTCATCAAAAATCCCTTGTCCCTATGTTTTCTGATGAGAATGTCAACTTTGTGACTTCAAGGCTTGGAAAGGCCCGAGAGCTTTGTCCGCAGATTCAGACCATCCCATACGACTTTACACTCTATGAACAAATCTCTTTGAAATTCTACAACATCTTGCTTTCATATGCTGATGAATTACAGGCTGTATCGGTAGACGAATGCCTAATTGATATCAGTAGTAAGAAACCCATTTCATGTTCTATGGAGACCCAAGAAATCGCTTTGACTAAACTGGCAAACGAGATCCGTACCAAAATACGATCCTCAACTGGATGCGAAGCCTCGATTGGTATCTCGCATAACATCCTTTTAGCCAAGTTAGCAACCAAAAAGGCTAAACCGGCAGGAACTTATCATTTACATGGGCCTCAGATCGCTCAGTTACTTGGTGATCTCAAAATTGATGATTTACCAGGAGTCGGATGGGCTCAAAAGGCCGACATTGAAACCGCTTTCCAAGTTTCAAATGTAGCACAATTAGGACAAATCTCAGTTTCTCAACTTATTGACGTCATGGGACCAATCCGAGGCAAGACTCTACATCTTTACTCGAAAGGGATCGATGACCGACCTTTAAAATCTAGTCATCATGATCGAAAGTCCGTCTCGGCAGTCGTCAACTATGGAATCCGTTTCAAGAATCAAGAATCAGGTGGAAATCAACAATCTTATGAGTTTATCAAGGAGCTTAGTCTTGAAGTCAGTCGAAGATTAGTAGAACTTGGGTTACGTGGACGCCACCTAAGTTTGAAAATTATGAAAAGGGCAGCCAATGCGCCGATCGAATCTGCGAAATTCATGGGGCACGGAGTGTGTGATGAGTTGAGTAGAACCAGTAAGATATCTGGACCAGGTGACTCGGCGATCGACGATGGGTCAAGGATTTGTGAAGAAGCATGGAAGTTACTTAAGAATTTAAATATTCCACCCGAAGATTTAAGAGGGATCGGAATTCAAATTCAAAAATTAGAAAAAACTACAGTTGGTCAAATTAACAATACCAAAGGACAATCCACCTTGACATTCAAGCCTGGAAAACTTCAGTCATCTGTCCGCGACTTAAACAATTCACCGAAAGCAGTACAGGTTATCACACCAAAGCCGAACCACTCGAACAAGTTTGCAGTTCCGAAGGCGTCAACTTCCAAACAAACTTTACAAAGTCCAGCACCTTGTACCCAGCTTATCATACCTTCTTCATCTCAAATCGACCCAGAGGTGGTGGATGCACTTCCTACACCTATGCGAAACACAGTTATGAAATCGATCAACCTTTCCCGCTCATCAACCGTAATGAAGACCCCCGTGAATCACGCTCCACAAGCCAGTACAAACTATGATCAGCTACCGTCAGCTAGCCAAGTTGATTGGGCCTTCTTGAGCGAGCTGCCATCTTCAGTTCGAAAACCAATTGAGGCACTGTATGAAAAACGCAAACTTGAACATGATCGGGCTCTCTTGCCACCACCACAGCCTGTTTTTGCCAAGAAGTCAATTACTGAAAAAAAGTTAAATAACCGAGTCCAGCCTACAAAGGGTAAGGCCCTTACTCTTCGATTTCCTGTCAAAGATACACGATCGAATCGGAAAACAAACGGTGTTCATCGGGTCACGCCTATTGGGCCGAGTCAGAGATTGATAAGCAAAAGGACCTTTAAACTCATTTCAAGGCCTCAACCCAAGCCGATAGATCTTACTGCTGATTTGGAAGACAGTAGTCAAGAGACGAATCAGATGCTACCCACACCAAACCGCATTACTGATGAACAATTGGAAGCACTCGAGATTGACGTTCGATTCTTTCGAGAACTTAGTTCAGCAAGAGCCTTTCAACTTGATTTGATTTATGATCAATATCAAACCCATCAAGATCGATTTAAAGAAGTTACAGCTGCAAATGATAGATGGAGACGTTGGAGAAAACGATTTGGTCAAGCATCAAAAGTCTTAACATTAGAATTTATTCAAAGACCTTATTTAATGATATGTGAAGAAAAAGGAGAAAGAACACTTGAAAGTTTTGAAGAAGTGAGTGTTTTAATTGAAGAATTAGTAAAAGAAGATGAAGAAGTTTTAGAAATGAAAATTGAAGAAGAAAGAAATGAAATCATCAATCAAATTGAAAAGTTTTTATTTGAATGTTTAGATAAGAAAAGAAAAAGTGGACAAGAGTTAGAGAAAGTTTATAAATTGATGATTTGGTGGGAAGAAATGATTAGAGAGAAATGGATTGAAATCGATTCTATTGGGAGAAAGGATTGGGAGAAAGTGGTTGAGGGGATTAAAGATCGGATTGATGAAGTTTGTGAAAGAGATCATGGTGCTTGTTTGTTTTGATGGAATCTTGTTTGGATTGATTCTCTTGAATTGATTGTTTCTTTTGGAATAGCATTCTTTTTTTCAAACTTGTTTATTGCTTTTTTTCATTGGATTCTTTTTTCATCATTTTCTTACGTGATTTTTGGAATTATAATCTTTTTTGTACGAATGTAGTCTTAGATCAATTAATATGTTGTAGCTTTTTGTTTTGTTTTGTATCTTGTCAGTTTATCATGTCTCTTCATCAATTCCAATCAATCAATCATATATGATAGAGTTGATCAAACACGATGTGGGTCAGATAGACAAGTTTGGAGGCTCGGAGACTTAGGCTGCCATAGCTGACGATAAATCAAAGTTGAATGATATACATTTTCCATCATCTTGATCGAGTTGATTCAGGCTAGGGGCGCGTATTACAAGAGGGGCGGATCGCCTTACTTTCATAGCATCCTCCTCCTAACACATCTAGCGCGTCTCCCCAGCAAAGGTACAATTGACCCCTCACCACCAAACTCAACATGTCATGCGCGCAGTTTGTTTATACAATTCAAAGGGCTTGGTTGAGAATTGATCAAAGGAAGATTTGATTACCAACTTGTCTATAAATCGTCATCAGCTGCACAGACTGTACTTAAAACATGCTTACATATCTGACCATGACGATGTGTACAATTGTTGATCATCAAGATATTATCTTGAGATAGGTCACCTTGTGTAACTTTTCTACGAAGGTGAGCTACAAAGGTTGTGCTGACTCAGATCAAACGCAAGGATCTGAGTGCAGGACAGTCTCTTCATCCTTGAACATGATATTGGATCAGGTACAATTATTTGAATTGTCAATATACAGCTGTTCCAACAAAGATTGATTTTTTTGGAAATCTCGCCAATGTGCAAAACCCGGGTTTTGTCCCTCACTTGATTTTGTCTCTCCGCTAATTGGAAGAATACAGGAAATAATAAACCTGTAATCAAGTTTTGTCTTTGGTTTTAGCCGCTGCGGAGACAACTTTCTCCAAAAAAAAGTTGTCAACCTTTCTTGGAACGGCTGTAGATGAGCTGCACGAACTGGGCTCACTTACATGTCACACTCACACCCGGTGCCACGACGCCACAAGGCACCCTGGAGGGGCACATGGCAAGGGCCAGGGCTTAAGCCACACCGTGGCCTACACACCGACCCCTTCATGGCCTTCAACGGGCATGGAATTCAGTCAAAGTCCCCCTAAAGATGGTCTTAAGCAGGGAATGGCGACCAAAAATGCAGATCTGAGGTTCTCTGAATGGAAGGCCACATTGGGCCACACCATGCTGGGCCATGGCCCTGGCCATGCCCTGGGCCCCAAAAAAGCCGCCGGGTGTGAGCGTGACTTACATGCGATGAAATCACATAAAAATGTTTGTTGTTACCAATACATCCTTTGGCGAAATGACTTAGGATGAGGCTTCCATTTATCACTCTGTGAGGTTTGTACTGCGACTTGGCCAGACCTGTGAAAGAATATACCTGATGCTTATCTGCATGCTGATGATGTTTCATCAAAGTATGTACATAAATTCACGTTATTCTTTTGTTCCCAACAATGATTCTTTTCCCTCATCTCTCTTGAGTTTTGATTTTTTTTACTAGTCGTCCATCTCCGCAGAAAGGTCCAATGTTTCCTTGAGCTCATTATTGCTTGCCAAAAATCTATCTGGTACATATATAAGGAGAACTATATATAGAATATCATAGTTATCACTCTAGTCTCTCAACACCTCTTGCAGATCAAGTCCAACAAGACCATCCCCACCACTTTATCCCAAGCCAACGAGGTTCCACTATAGAAGCCAACCCAATTCCTGAATCAAGCATAAGGATCCAAGTATATTCAGTTGTTGAATGGTTTTCAAACTGAACAGATCTACATCAATATAATCACTGAAATGCCTGCAAAGGAAGCTTATGTACTTAAAATGAGCATCAGAAACTGTTTTGTTCTTTATTTAATGAGTATGATTTAGTAAATGGAGGATATTTAAGGCATTGGCTAACTCAAGAAGACATTGGCAGGACCGGTGTAGTATTTAAATCTCAACAAGAGCTTTACAACACCTAAGAAGGGATAATCTACTACATGTAATATAGTAGAAGTTGTCTAAAGACTGCCTTCTTCAAAGGAACCAGCACAAGGGCACTTGCTGACCACTTTGTGATAACAGAGAAAAAGACAAAGGCACCAGAGAAATAAAGCAATACTGTTGTGTAGTATTATTCCCAGATTTTAAGCGCAAAAATTCCACACACTATGTTATTACTAGCAATACTGTTGTTAAGTATTATCCCCAAATTGACTTATAGTCTTTAACACACGTAAATAAATTTCTCCTTGCTTTGAAGGGGCGGATTTAAGTGATCTTAGTACAAATATAGTAAATAAATGATGATTTATAACACTACAACAAAGGTATAAGATGCAGAAAACGGAACAAAAATCCCAAAATCATCAAGGAGTACTTATATCCACGTGTAACAACCTCTACATTAGTCAACAGCCTCAAAAACCAGTCAAATCTGCCTCACAGGGGCCAAAATAGATACTCACATACATGTGAGCGTTGTAGACTTTTTGGAATTCTCCAAAAAAGATATATTTTCTTCCAGATTGATTCAATTCACAATCTTGGTTGTGTTCAGGTGATCAGCCTGTGGTGCTCATATTTTACTTGACATTTGTTGAGAAGGCTTGTTTCCATCTTGGATGGGCAATAACTGATTCCCAATGAGTACTCAGGATCAGCTCATGGGTCACTGGATACTCAGCAATTTGTTCAAAATGAAGATGAGCACATGTACTATACCTTCCTGAGGCTTCATTGTTCAGTGAAGAAGCCTGCACAGGGGCGTCCCATTTGAGCTGCTCAGCAAATACTCAGTAGCATCCCCTGACTGGATCACTGATGGGCCGGACTTTCCTCAGACTTCCTTGCTAAGGAATGAAGCCTGATAGAAGCGCCATCCCATCTGCTCAGTTCATCTCAGTTGCTCAGCTAATCCTCAGTGATATCCTGGATAATGTTTTTCTCACTGAGGGGCTGAGATCAACTGAGCAGCCCCTCAGCCAATACTCAGTGACATCCTTTGGCTCCTTCTGATCCGGCCAGGAATGCCCCTGAGGACTAGCTGAGCAGCCCCTCAGCCAATCAGCAGTGAAATCCTCCGGATCCTTTTGATCTCAGGAATGCCTCTGAGGAATAGCTGAGCAGCTCAGTTGAACAAGCAGAAGGGCCTCAGGCTTCATTCCGGAGCCATGAAGCTTGAGGCAAGCTTGGCGCTCTGTGATCCGTCTTGGGGATGCTTCAGAGACTTAGCTAAGGGAATACTCAGTTCAGCTCAGCCCCTAAGCTATACATTAGTGGCATCCCTTGGAACTTATTGAACCAGGGAATGCCGCTCAGGATCAGCTGAGCAGATGGATCAGCCCTTCCTCAGACTTCTTTGCTCAGGAATAAAGGCTGAGGAAGGCTTGGTTTGTTTGCTCAGCTCCTGATGATCATGTAATCAGCTGACAAGCAGAAAGAAAAGGGAAACAAATTGGAAACAAACTGGAAACAAATGGGAAACAAATGGGAACAAAACAGGAACATTTCAACACTCACATAGTTGTGAGCATCAATTTTTGCCCCTGTGCCTAAAGAACCCTAAAAACCATGTAATGATGCAATGTAATGATCTTGTTACTAATGTATGATGTAATTTTCACAGCCAAAAGTGATCAATGACACAACGATTTAATGTACAGCACTTCTTAAGATGAATACAGGTGATTTTTTCCTTGTAAACTAGCTGCAAACCAATTTTTGAGATTACAAATTTTTTCAGATGTGGTCCAATTTTGATCTACTATAGTGCATCTTGTAGCCCTCGTGATACTGATCATTTATGACACCCATATGACCTATTTCTGATGAGTTATGAGTAAGATATTGAGTTGTGAAGTTAAGGTTTTTGGTGTTACATGTTGACTTGTGACTGTAAATTCCAGATTCACCCCAATTTCTTATTTCCCGTATAACTTTTTACATACACCTCCGTTACTAATGATTTAAAGTTTGTACATTATGTAATACACTCTTTTGCGTTGAATGAGCTATCTACCAACCTGATCTGACGTCATCTGACATATGTAATTAGCTGAAAACCTTCATTTTTGATGAAATTCACCCATTTTTTTCACTTTTCACAGCTGCTACTCTCTTTTCCTTGCTCATGTAATATGAAATAATCTTCCACAACCTTAAAAATCCTGGAAAATCTTCTTGGCAACCTTAATTTCCACTACTACCACCATTACATATGTAAACTACACGTATAACCCTTGTTTACCATCTTTGAAAAAGTACCTTTCTGCTAATGACTTCTGTTTTCCCTAATCAACCTCCAAGATTAAAATTGTTGCTGTATAATAAAGTGTTGTTCTTTCATATTCTAGCCTTAATAAACCCATAACTTAATTATTAATACCCTAAAAACCATTTTCCAACTTTTACACCTATACACAAGGACCGCCAGATCCCCTCTCGACGTCGAGGGGGGTTGAAAGTGCTGCAAAAGTGTTGCAAAAGTGTCTAATCCCACCTGACTTTGTGTGTCCTAACCTGTCCTAGCGCTAGCCCATGCTTAGTCATACATTTCATGATCAGTGGGCTTGATGATCTTGAGCTCTCAGCTTGGGCTGAACTCCTCATTCAACAAACTTCCGCTCATGAACCATTATCAGATGATCTCGATTCATTTAACCTCAAACCATCCAAATTACCATTTGATTTTATTAACCAATTGACACCTTATCTATTTCAGTTAAGATCAAGTCCTCTTCCAGCTACTCAAGCAAAAAGTAGGAAAAAGTTTGAGCAAACTGTTGAGTGTCCATTCCATGGGTCCTTTCTCAAAATCTATCATCTTATTCTGACTTGGATTTCATTCTGATATCATTGTTTTGTTTTTTTGTTTTTTGTTGGATCGTCCAACAGTCAGACTTTTCTTGTGGGTCTAGTCAAACGGAGCAGAACTCTAGTGAATCACAACCAGAATCTGACCCGAACAAGCGAATCACACTACGCTTTACTCTTCCGATGGAAATGCTAAAGGTACACATTTTCAAAAGAAAAGAAATCTAAAGTTAACCTGAAGAAAAGCCTGAGGGATTTTATTGGTTTTTTTTCTTCTAAATTGGTTTGCTAGTACTTAAAACGACAAGAATATCTTGTAGTACGAGAAATCATTTTATTATCTGGATCAAGTTGTCAATTAAGATGAAAAACAAATCATAAAGATGTTGAATTTTTAAAAAAATATTACTTCTGGTTTAAGTAAGCAAGTTTCTAAAGCAATTAAACTCTTAACCAACAAAATTTGGAAATGGGATAAAACGTAAAAAACAAAAATATATAAATATATACTCTCAAGGTTTCTTGATTGATCGATTGTTTTTTCTTTACCTTTTCTTTTGAGTTTGTTTGATTGGTAGATTGTGAGATTTTTCATATGATTCTTGTTTTTTCTTTTGGTATGATTGCTTCTTTTTCTATCTCACTGAATTCATTGTAAAATAACCTTCCATTTTCTTTCATGTTCAGGCATGATATGGTACTGTAATTATAGATTTTGTTTATTCTGATAGTATCAAAACCAAAGTGACTTCAGGCTTATCAGTTGTTAACTGTATTTTAGCGGTGTCAGTGGTACGTATTTGAAGCAAGATACCCTATGATTTTTCAAATTATCAAAAATCAATTTACGTGTTTCTAAATAAAGCATACATACAATGTCTTTTGATCCTACTGAACAATCATGTTTTCCATTCAACAAACAAAAACCCACATAATTTGTTATACATAAGATCTTTTCATTTATGATCCATCCCAATATCAAAGCAAACACAAGAAACAATCTTTCCCAAAGAACCTTCTAGATCCGAAACTCCCCAATCCCAAAGTCCTCTTGAAAAGAACCTTTGTCAACTGTTTTCAACTTGAACTAATCTCACCAAAGGTTTTCTAGAAATTGCATCTTTAAACTGGATCAAATCTTTGACATAATTCAGATAAGTTTTAGCTAATGAAGATGCATTCCGATGATCAGTTTGATAATTAATGAAATTCATTGAGAGATAAACTTTTTCTAGTAAGTTTTGTTGGTTTGCTTCAGCTTGATTTAAAAGGTTAATTGATTTAATGATAATTCTTGCTGTTGTTGCCCAACAATAATTTGTAAACCTGAAAACACAGATGCAAGGGCTGGATTAGTATATCAGAAGGATCAAGAAAGAGAAAGGTGATTTACGGATGAAGTAAAGTAAAATCAAAACCATTCAAACCCATTAACCAAACCCCAATCTGAACCATTCCATTTGCCAAATTCCAACAAATCTCAAATGAATGATCTTGTTCTTGATTCCCATTGATCATAAAACATTCATGTAACAAAATCTTACTTAAACATATGATCAACTGAATCAAAACCCTTGTATGAAGATTAGTTATGTTTGGTAATAATGGACTGATTGAAGTTTGATAATCTTGGATTTCTTCTTCTAATTCAATAAACAATTTCCTACAGATAATCAAAGGTAAACAAGTTAAAGATTCCTTTCATTTGATGTTAAGAAATCAATCAGAGAAGATAGCTTATGATTTGCCGATTGGATTGAATATGAACATCCTAGTAATTTTCTTGTGGGATTTGACTTCATTATGAGTTCGATTCGGTTTAAGTATTGGATTAATACTTTTGATCCACTGTAAACATCATTCAACTTCCCCAATTTGGCAAAGGAAAATGATTAATAGTACAGTTTTTCATAAAAGAATCTAATACTGCACACCTGGGCCATTTCACCCACACTACATATGTGCAGCAAGCTAAGTCAATAGTTGTCTATCATGTACATACAGGTCTGCTCAGTTTTTTGCCCATCAGAATAAATAAATCACATGTTATACCACATGTAACTTTTTCGACTTTGAAATTTTTTTCCCAAAAATTCACTACATATAATTCTGTAGCTGCTCAGGCAATATTGTTGAAGCTATGTCTTAGTAACAGAAAGTGTGTTACATGCAGTTGAGTTGATGAGATCACACCAAAACATTGAGTCAGTGTATGTAGTCAATCTCTTGGAAGCTTTTTTCAATCTGAAAGAAGTTACAGCATGTATTACATATGAATAACTTGTCCTGATGAGCAGATAACTGAGCAGAACTGTATGTACATGATAACCACATATTCACTGAGCCTGCTACACATATGTAGTGTGGGTGTTATGGCTCAGGTGTGGAGTGATAGACCATTTTATGACAAATCATACTCCCAATCATTTTTCCCTGCCCACTTGGGGAACCCGAATAATGTCTGCAGTGATCCTTCATTTAATGGTGCCCATATCATTTCTCCTAACGCTGGACTAATTTCAATCAAACCCAAACCGAATGATTTCCTAAATAGCAAGAAAAGCAAAACTTTCAATCAGTTGGTCTCTCTGTCACTTGTACTGCTTTGATTGAATTTGAAACACGCTTACAATTTTGTATCTTCTTCTAACATTGAATTCTGATTATGAATAAAAATGAAACCAAGGAAAGGTGCAACAGATTGACTATTGTTTAAGTTTGAAGTAGAAGTAGATTGTAATACACTAGAATTGATAGATTCAGGTGAATTCAATTGAAGTTCAATAGATGATTTTCTTAAAGTTGAGATTGATTTAGACCATTGTTGATCAAATCCTTGATTGGTTTGATTTCAATGATCTCTTACATGAGAATCTATGATTATGATTGGTTTGTTTCTTTTGTTCGGGATCGGCGAGACTGATAAGTTTGGTGGAGTGAGGGGCAGTCTGCAGAAGAGTTAGAGGTCGCACGTTCTTGAGCAATCGCAGCTTGTCTAGCAGCAATTTCAAGTCGAAGTAATTCATCCAAAACAGAAAAACACATCAGTCACACATAAGACATGATCCTAAGAGTGTAAAAGAAAAGGACCACTAACCCAAACTGGTAAATGATGAACTTTACCAATCAACTGAGTCAAAAATCTTTTCCATGAAGTAAATCCATCCAAATCATCCGTATGAAAAAAACTTCGGATCCGTCTTTGAAAACTAATCTAAATGTAAACGGTGGTAAGCCAATAAGAGTGTCAACATCTCGTAGTCTCGTCATAACGGCGGGCAATGATCGAGGTGGGTACTTCGCATACTTTATGCAAAACAGTACGGCGGACCTCACTGGTTTCAATGTCGCGTTTTTCGGCAAGGTTAGTCACACCATCAGGATCAGGGCTTAAAGTGACCAAATTTACTTACGACGATGGATCACGAATCATGAGGTCAATCAGCGCGTCATTTACATTCACTTCGTCCTCGTCTTCATCCTCTTCTTCACCTACTGGTCTAAAGTTCATCAAAGCAATGGCAGCTTGTTGTCGCACATCTTTCTCTTTATCATGACTTCGGATCAGTAGTTTAGATTTGAGTTCACTAAAGAGATCATCACTGCGGATAGAGAGGAGAAGTTCTTATAAGCACAATCAATAAAAATCAATGATATGAGCTCGAACTTCTTAACGCACTCGATATCTTCTAGACTATTGACCACATAAGCCAGCAATTGGCTGCATCTGAATCTGACAATCTGATTCTTAGCTTCAAACCCGCGATTGAGATATTTGATTATGTGCAGTAAGAGTCGATTGGTAGGAGTTTGATCTGAAGAATCCTTGAGAGGGTCTTATGTGTAATGATAAAATGTCACTCCCACTGGCCAATGCGGAAACCAATGGATAGGGTGTAGAAGAGAAGACTGACCATGATCAGTAGCAAATGAACAAAACGCTCCAATAAACTTGATCACTCTATCCACCTCAACGATCCCGTTTTAGTTGAAACCAAATTTTCAAGTACGGTATAAATTGCTTCAGTGAGTTTTCTTGCCCCTGAGTTTGATAGTTTTTTCAGCATCTTGCATCTCATCATTGTCAGTTTCTTCAAAGATTGCACTAGCCAAAAGAAAGATTTTGTGTAGATTGTTGACTAATTTTCGATGACCAGTTAATGAGTTTTGAGATTGGTTGAAGATCGCAAGGATTGAATTTGAGATTGTGTTTAGTGTGTCATTTTTCTTACTAGCCGTCTCGACTTCATCGACTGGAGCATCTTCAGGGATTGAGGTAGCAGTGGTAGGCTTCCTTGACCTTGAGACAGCCTTCATTGTTGACGGTGCTCTGGCCATTTTGATTGCACAATTGGATGACGATGATATGATATTGAGATGATTGAGGAATCGGTATGTTGTATCTGCGGTAAAGGTGCCATGCCAGGTTATGTGTGTGTCAGAGGTGTGAGTTATTTCACAGGGCATGAAACAGTTGGGAAAGGCTGTGAAATGGCAACTGAGACTCAGTCTTGGTCCTCTCGACAGCCCTATGTTCCATAAAGTTCAGAGCAATGGCTGAACGTGCAGGGTTGTTCATGAATACTTATTGAGCCAAGGCGGTGGAACAGGCGGAACCATGCATATCTGAGCTGCTCAGATTAAACACAACTGCCACGCAATTGCGAGACTTTTGTGAGACTCTAGCCCCCCTCGACGTCAAGGGGGGATCTGGCGGTCCTTGTGATATTTTCAAATTTTTCTTATCTTTTCTTTTCCTGTCTTTTTGTAATAACTTTGTAAGTAAACTATAATGATCTTAAGAATATTTTTGAAATAAGATGACATAATATTGAATTAATAAGTTTACATAAGCCTCTAAGAGCTTCAATTGATCTGAAAACCTGCATTTCAAATTTCCTGCTATACTAAAGTTTCCTAATAATTTGATAAAGTTATGATGATTGATTTTCTTGATTGATCTCATAAATAGATCACCACACTGGTAGTCCAAGTGTTGCATTGTCTTCTGCGCCAGCTCCAATGAGAGAGAAGCAAATCAGCAATGAGCCATACCTTCAGGAAAATTTTGAAAAGTACCAAACAATCACATCGGCTCCAGTGCCACATTTTTTTCAAGATGGCCTTGAATCAGCTCCCGGTAATTACACTGAGAAGGAACACCTTTGTGATTGTGTTGAATGTCCGGGAACCGGCATTGTTTGTTAACACTTGCTGTGTGCTTTACTATTTATTCTGACAAGTATATAAAACCTTGATTGTTTTCCTGTTCTTTGTTCTCATCCTCTACAAGTACAATCAAGTCTACACGGCTTTAAGAGCAAGCCAGTCCATCCATATTAACCTTTAAGAGGCCTCACAAGACCCCTTTGAGCCCGTTTACAGTTAGTAGCCACAGATTTGTGTTATTTCTGTTATTTCTCAATTTGACTACTATTGTCAAGTGCTGTCCTACATATTGAAAATATATGTAATAAACTTGTAGCAAATTATTTACCAATCTTTTGAGTTGATACCTTATTCAATGACCTTCTTTATTGACAGTCTCCATTGCACTGTACAATCACTGAGTGATTGTGCAGAGGCTAGCATTTGAAGTTAAGGTACCCACTTAACATCAACTTTGAAAGCCAGACCACCTGGAAGTTATGTGGTCTAGCCATTGCACAATCACTCAGGGATTGTGCAATGGTGGCAGGGCCAAGATGAGATAGGATCTTGGCCCCAACCAGAAGACAATTGCAGAGTGATTGTGCAGATGCTAGATTACCTAATAGCTAGGTGGCCTGGATTTTAAAGTCAAGGTACCCACTTTATCTTAACTTTAAGGCTAGAACACCTAGCAGCTAGGTGGCCATCACAAAATCACTCAGACATTGTGCAATGGAGGCAGGGCACAAGGCATAGACATTGGCAAGACCAGGCTCAAGATGAGAGATTGGCTTGACCCACTGAAGGTGGTCTAGGGTTTTAGCTGTTGAAGTTGTACTAAGTTGAAAGCCAAACCACCTAGCAGCCAGGTGCTCAATCTTTTTGCACAATCATTCAGTGGTTGTGTGACTGGTTGTGGTACCTTAACTTAGCCAAAGGTGGTGTAGCTAAGTGAAGGCACCCCCACCAGATTCATGTGGGTAATTGCTCATTACATACAGCACTTGTTGATGTAGCTACTTATTGCATGGTTTTACTTGTGGGTGTTGACAACACTGGGTGTGAGCAGTTCAGAAGACAGTTATGTAGGGACCCAAACAAGCACTACAATTCAACAATCAGGCATAGATGATTTACCATAGGATGTTTTGGATAAATCCCCCTTGGGTTCCATTGTGTGATCCAAAAAAGCTTGCAAAACTAATTGTTAAATTCAATTTCCAATTTCAAGCTTTGGCCAAAGGGTTATGCAGGGACAACCACAAGACTACATTTCAACAAAACAAGCATGAATCACTGATTCTACATGAATTATAATGCATTAGGTGTGCAATGGTTTGTGACAAAAAGCTCTTGTAGATGTAGCTACTTATACAGTGCAAAGAAGATGTATTTTTCCATACTGAAAAATGATCAATACTAGCAATTTAAATGGCATGCTTCATATTGATCCAAAGAACCTGAAAAAATCAGATAGGTCAAATTGTGCTAGTTTCCTTCTGTTGGAAGCTTTTGGTGGATATGAAAAATCCAAGAACTCAGTTTGGTGACTTTCAAGCTTTTCTTAGCACAATGGACAAAAATGCAGGACTTGTGCACTCCTTTAATCCTCCAAAAGTAACAACACAGATCCAGAAAAAAGTTACAAGTGAAGGACAACATCCCCCTTTTTGAATGTTTTTTCCAGGGTTTTTCTGGCTCAGCATGTAAGCCATCACATGTGAGTTGTTACAATTATATAAAATCTGCTGAGATATGTACAAAGCTCCAAAACCACCCAAAAAAAGAATTGCAACACAGCAAAGGATATGCCATTATCTAGTTTTTTTTTAAAAATAATCCATTAAAATATGATCCATTTGTGGCCCAAAAGACATTTACAATTTGTTTGGCAAAGAGAGAGCAACTTTGGTCAACTACCATATGAGTGTTGGTTCTACACAATCTTTTTGACCTTTTTCGTACAATTCAAAGTGCTTGGTTGAAGACTGATTGTCTATAAAAATATCACCTTGTCCTACTTGTCTCTATATATCAGTCACATAGAATGCAGTCACTTAAAACATGCTTGTCTGATCCCAATGCCATATACAATTGTTGATTATCAAAATATCATCCTGAGATGGGGTCTCATGTAACTTTCCTACATAAGTGAGCTTCAAAGCCTGCTCTCAATGAGACCAAACACAAGGTTCTGAATCTCAGACAGTCTAATTATTCTCATACAATATCTGGGATCAGATACAGATGTTCTGATTGCCTGTATAGAAGAGCTGCACAAACTGCGCTGACTTATGTACAAAAGATAGAGTGACATAAAGAAGTGCTCATTTCCATTGATACATAGTTTGGTGAAATGATTGGAGATGTTGCTTCCCTCAACTTCATCTCCCTGTGAAGTTTGTGCTATAAATTGTTCAGACCTGTGAGAGCATACATCTGATAACTATTGGAATGCTGCTGAGATGTGTCATCAATGCACATAAACTCTCCTCATTCTTTTGGTCACAAGAAAAATTCCATCTCCTTGTATTTTTGGCTTTTTACCGACTGCCAATCTCTAAAGATCTGGGACTTAAAGAAGCAGATCAACAGGATTCAAAGATAAATAAAATCATAATTATCAATCTTTTCTTCAACAATTCAAAATCTCCTTTGCAAACCAAGTCCAAAATCATATCCCAATTCAACCAGATTCAGCCATAGGAGGTAGCTTGTTTCTTCAAGCAAGTATAACCATCCAGTTATATTCAATTGTTGATTGGTTTACAAATTTAAAGTATCTATAGCAATGATTACTGAGATGCCTAATAAAACAGCTTCTATGTTCAAGAAAAATGTCAGGAACTGTTTCCTTCTTTACTTGATGAGTATGGAACATTTGGTTGATGGAATGGTTATAAAAGCTCACCCAAGCCAAGTAGACATTGGTGAAACGGGTACTCAAAGTGTTGCCTTGTCCTCCACAATGGATCCAACACATCAGGAGAAAATTACTAATGGTCAATACCTTGTGGAAAATTTCAAAGCATACCAAAATAACTACATGCCAACTTCAGTCCCACAGATTTTTCAAGATGGCCCTGCACCAGGTCTTAGTTGTATGATTGATGGGGAGCGCAATTGTGGTTGTGGTCATCATTTCAGAGGAACCAGGATAGTCTGTGATGCACTTTGTTGGTGGTTTAGCTACTTTAGGTGGGATGGGTTTATGAAGTTACTGTTACAACAATTACAAGGCTAAAAAAGAGGAAAGGATTGATTGGATAACTGTGCTAGTGTGTGATATATTCAGAGGTACATATACTGTTCACAATACTGCTGTTTGAGGTGATCAAATTGGAAAGAAAGGAGATATCAACAGATGCTAGTTCATATTTTTTATTCCTATACCACCACCAGCTGAAGCTCTTGATTCCACCCTTGTCTCAACATTGGAGAAATTTGTTTTTGAAAGGGTTACACCAACTGTTTTGTGTCTCCTGTTGATTCTCTATATTATCTTTTGCCTTAATGTATCAGGCTTTATCTAACTACAGGTGTAAGGCTTACACATTGCAATGGCAGGTCTTACCACAGTTAATACTAATCTTTTGAAATCTGGTCTTTACCCTCTGGTACTGTTTCCTCTTCCTTTCTGAACCTGTCCTTTCTCATACCAGTTTCTTTTCACACTGTCAGAAGATTATCATATAATGTTTCTGGACCCAGCTATAAACCCTTTCCCTTCTGGTTTGTTCAGCTGTCTTTTGAACTGACATGAGTTAGGCCTAGCATAACAATTGATTAAATGGTTTTTAATGTCAAGATAGTCAGCTGTGCCATTCCACTCTTTTCCCATTGAAACACTACCAAACAAAATATTTGAAAATCCAATGAATGGGTCAAGTCTTCCAAGGAGTCCATATCCTTCTAATGAAGAAATTAAGGTAAAGCTGATAAATAAGAGAGATAGATACTGACAGTAAGGTGGTTCTGTAAATAGATGACAAGAATGACTTCAAACATCCAGAGAACAACAAATCTCAAGTAAATTGGATGACATATAAAGACTTGACATGGAACTGAAAAGTGTTTAAATAAGGAGCATATCATAACATTTAATCCCAAAGCCACTTAATTTACAAAACTCGTCAAAATACACAAGCTTCCCCCTATAAGAGTTTAGGACCTTGGTCCAAAATCATCCGGAAACATGGCAATCCGTCAATCATTTCCGTTAGTCTCATTTTCAATCGAGTTTCAAAATATGTCACCATCCACCTGATGGATGTATGTGTTGAACAAACGAATTTCACACCACTTTTACCAGGCCACCATGTAGAATTTTGTCATTTATCACCGTACACCTTGATGTTTACGTCAAACAAACAATATTCAACATGCGTAAAGCCAACTCCGTATATTCTTTCATCCACTTTCATCGCAAACTTCCAGGGCCCATACCATATTGAACTCACCAAAGTATCAGAGCATACTAAAATGTCTGCGCGATCATGACAGCCACCTTCTGTATCTTAATTTGGTATCGAGGTGTCCGGAAGTATTTCGCGGCTTGGAGCATCATAAATGCATTTGCGATCTCTCCCCATGATTGCATCAACTCGATTACAATCTTGAACCAAGGAATTTAGGCAACTTTCATGCGACTACCTAACTTGCAATACCCTGTCTCTTGACATGGAATTCCTTTTGACGTTTCGCGCCCCCAGATTTTATTGTTATTTCACTCAATGTTGCGCAGTCAAATTGTCACTGTTTGTCCGTCGCATTATGTCGAGAATTCCATACACGTTGGTGTGGACGCATTGCTTCCAGTAATCACCTACATACTACCCAATCACAAAAGTCGCCTTGGTATACGCCATCCGGCAGATGTCCTCCTACAATTCCCGACAGAATGGATTCACATAGGCACAGCATGATATGACAAATCATATCACGAAAAACATGGTACAACAATTTGTCTCCTTGGAAAGTTCACGAGTTTCCCTCTCCCAATGCCCGTCCTATGCTTCACTGACGAGAATCCGCCTCTTCATTTTGAAAGCTATATAAGACACGCATGTCCCTTGATTCTGCTGCCAAAATCAAACCATCCAGTACCTGTTTCCTCACCAAGGTCCAACGGCTATTAGCTTGGGCGCAACTTACTTTCTATTTACACCAACTTGCAAAACAGTAAGTTTGTCTGCTCTGCCTCTATTGACACTTCTCTTTCCCAATGATATCATTCATCCATACTTTTTTTCCAACTTTGCAATCAGACCAAATGTTGGACACATCACCATCCACTCAACACAGCATCTATGTCTCTGGCAATTTCGAGATTGAAAATAGAGTATGTACAGACATTCTTCTGCTCGGTAGTTTAAGTGCAAACACAAGACTCACATAGTCCGACTGCTCTACACAGGTATCCCCAATCACCATCGCTGGCTCTGGCCCTGAATACATTACCTATGCTGTTTCAATTGGGTGTAGAGGTGCTGACCGTGATGCAAGATTGCTGTACGAGATCAGGGCCACCGGTCTCGCAGCCGATGAACATAAACTCTACAAGGACCACACCTACTTCCTCCGTGGTCCTTTTTTCCCCACAAACCTACCTCAGACTGAAAGTGATCAATTTATATTCAAGGGTGCTGACGCTACATTGATAGCATCACTTGATAACTATGAGGGAGAATCCGTGGACTCGGTTGGTATATCTGGTCTCGGCATTGTTATCAACATTGAACACATCACCGAGAAATGTTGTCAATACCTCAAAAAAACCGGCCAGGAGGATGATCTACAAACAACAGTTGTTACTATGCAACATTCCGAATTTAACCCCATTGTAGGTATTTACTTTTCCCCTTGATGTAGCCGGTCACTGACTCGTTATTTCAGAGTCAAAAGACTCACATGAGCAAGGTAGAATACCTAATTCGGCCCACCCCAAATCTTGCTTGCATTGCTACTTATTTGAAAACGGGACGTGAATGCGCAATACATGGATATATCAAAGACTTCAATGTGGAAACGAGCTCCTATGTCGTTGTAGTAAGTACTGTTATACTTGCAGTTCTGGGTTGTCCTGTCATTTATTGTTTATGGCATTCATCATGCAGGCAAACAAATTATACATGACAAGTGGTTATCAAGATTTAACAGCACCCACCAAAGCAAAAACCGTGGGAAATGGTATACCATCAAAGAAGCCAGTCAAGTTAGTCAGCATTTATTCATATGTTTCTCCCTGTCATTCTGGACTTTGCTTACATATTCAAGTAGGTTTGTATCAAGGGCGGTCTCCTCACCATTCGTATCGCCCATTCCTACTTCGGGCTTTTCCCGGGCAGTTGTTTCTGGGTCTGGTGAAGGATCCGAATTGCAAGTGGAATCTGGGTCCGGTTCTTCCCCCGCTTTGTCATTACCATCGACGTCTAGCAGTGTTCCAAAAGGCCCAAAGACCACTGGCCAACCACCAAAAAAGAGAGCCCGTGCTCCTCCAAAAGCCAAGGCCAAGAAGAGTGTCACTATTGCTAAATCACGATGAAAAATATCACTTTCACTGTGGTCACTTAAACTCTGCTAGGGTTTTTTTTACGCATTGTGTGATAAATATTAAATGACAGAACATTGTATCCATTCCTGATTCATTATGAAAGAAATTCCCTTTCCATGCGGCCACATAAGCTATGCTATATTGTGTTTATTTGTCGTGTTGCGTTATATCTTGACCAACTATCATGCTCTTTTTGGTAAAACCTCTACCTGATCTTCTGTTTGCCTTATTACTTTTCAAGCAATGAACTCTTTCTTGAGGTTCATTCCACCTTCAGTGCAATGTCTAGGATTGTCAATGATTGCCATTTTGTCCTATGATAGTAATTTTCACCTGATGTTTCCTGACTCTCTTATATTTCATTATACGGCCTAACCCGTCTTTAATTGTATATATACAACTTTTGGAGTGCAATTTTGAAATTTCAGCTCGAAGATCAAAAGATGTTGACAACTTTAACATATTTTTGATACCACTAGCCTGCATTTACATTAAATGCTTTTATTTCACACTACCTGGGTGCCAACTTAATGTAAAATCATGATATAGACTTGGTGTTGCATACAAATAAAGTTCACATAGACTTACTGGAACATGTATTTGAATAATTGATCTGGGTTGGCTTACGTGTCCAACTCCAAAATTTTTTGACACACACAAGTTACTCGGTCCAATAATGGTATATATGAGCCTGCCAAGCTTCCTGGGTTGATCCAATCTGTTCAAGAGCGGCGCAAATTTTTATTTGCAGCAGTTGATACATTTTTATCCTACGCGGCACGACTTACATAATGGAAAAGTTGCTCTACACACTCAAGTTCTGATATTTATGACTTGGTACTTGTAACAGTAATTACATGTTGTAATCCGACGTTGTATCCTTACATGTGCCAATCTCGAACCATTGGTATGGGCCACAATATTGCCATTTTGATTCCATTGGACTTAGACCGCATGAGTGCTGCCATAATGCTCCTCTGACCAACACAATACTATCACGTGCTTTATTCTCCGATTGCCTTGATGAAACGTCTCTCGGTCACAGTAGCTAGATTTGGAATCTCCCGGCATGGATGAATTTAGATTAACCTTGGCGCCTGCATTCTACCCTTTTGACTTCAAATGTTATTCCTATGTCATGAGGCCGTATGGGCTGTAAGACCTAACTTTTTTAAGGTTTTGTGATTTCACACATCTGCACTGCTGACGGTATATAGTCACCGGTTTGGACGGCAAGTTTGGTTGATTGTGGATTCGCGTCCGATAACACCTTGGGGTGTTGTTGTGTATGATATAGTTTGATTTTGGAAAATAGTTGCTAATCATAAATTCTACATACTATTCCTTGGTTGATTACCTTGTCGCGGTGAGTTCCTTTCATTTCCCCTCTATATAATATATTCTTACGCTTTGTCAACATTCTTGGTTGTGCACATGATTCAAAATGCCAATCAACACATTGGTTGATAACGTAATATATGCCACGTCCAGTCACGATGAGGAAACTTGTTAGTCCACTTTGGCTGCATTGTGATTTGTTTTAGTACCTGACCAACTTTTATTTCAGAGTGCCCACCCCGAAAATGCCTGTCATTACATTCCTCCTGGCATGCCACGCGGTGTAACACTCAACCATGTCGATTTCCCTCCGTCCCCACATTCACAATCGCCGGACGATTTTGCTTTCAATTCATTGGGGCCAAGCCTGGGGGTCAAGCAGTCAAATATCAAAATTGCTTTTGGAATTGCTATAAAATCACGTATGCGTCCATCCAATCCCATATCAACTACCAGGCATTGCGTGTGTTGTTTGAGATATTAGTGGTTCTTATAAATTTCTCTTCCTACCCACTTCTTTGTATTTTAAATGAATACGTGCTTACGGCCATGTCTGTTCTCCGTTGTTCTGCTTAGGTTGATTTCAGTGACTTCATCGAGTTTTAATATTGGCGGCATTAATCATGTCCGACAACTCAAATCCTACATACCATGGAATATATCTATCCGGTAATTTTGAAATCGAACAGAAGGTAAGACGGGGCTCATTCTCGAGGTGTTTCCCGCATTATGCTCACCTTGCTATCACTGTAGCTCTCACCGAACCATGGATGGCGATCCGAATACCGCACATATGTAACTTACATCGGTTGTGGTGGCGCGGACCGCGATCAACGTCTACTTTATGAGATAAAGGCCAAGGGCTATAGCTCACCTACGTATATGTTGTCTCAAGACTACATCTACTACCTACGAGGTTCATTCTTTCCGTCAAACAACCCTGAAACGGAAAATGATCAGCTCTTGTTTGAGGGTAGTGATGCAAACGTAGTGTCAGCCTGCAAAAGTTGCGAAGTGGATTTAGTGGACTCGGTTGGTGTCACCTCTCTAGGAATTGTGATTGGTATAGATACAATTGTGGAAAAGTGCCGTCAATTGGTAACAACTCCGGCGGTGGAGGGCGGAATCCGGACCACTGTCTTGACTGTCCAGCATGCAGACTATCATCCAATAGTAAGTTTTTGTTTGTTTACTAACATGTCTTGTCGCTAGCTGAAATTATGATTTCAAAAGTTGAAGTCTAGGCGCGTTAGCAAGATGGAGTATCTGGTCCGGCCTACCCGCGCCCTTGCGGGAAACATTGACTCTATTATAGTCGGAAAAGAATGTCAAATTCACGGTTATATCAAGGATTACAATCAGGACACTGCTTGCTATGTAGTGATTGTAAGCCCTTGCGCACTTCTGACATTCCTGGCAATGCTAATGACAATGTTTGCGGCTAGGTAAACAAAATTCATTTGACCACTGGTTTTCAAGAACAACAATCCGCTCCAACGGCCACTTTGGACCCTGTGACAGGTCAATCGAAAAAACCACCAAAGTATGCAATGCAACTATTGTTTCTTTTGTGATCGTCAATATTGAATCACAATTACTCTAGGTTTGTTGTTAAAAAGATCACCTCACGCGCTGATTTCCCTTCAGAAAAAGCGGCCCTTGAATCCGAAGGAGAAGCTGCTGGGGTACGGAATGATGACTCGCAATTGCCACCGTCCCCTGGCCCATCAGCTTCCTTGTCTTCTGCCTCCGACAACTCTGGTATGCCAAAGGAGGCAGTAATTGCAGAAGTAAAAAAGCGGGCTCGATATCAACCCAAAAGGAAGTTATCTACCGCTTCGGGTGATGTCTCGCCCTAATGAACCTGAACTGTCAGTACCAAACCTGTCAATTTCATTTCTTTTCTGCTGTAGCGCTTTTGATACTTTTGACTGATCTGCTATTATTTCTGTTTCCTATATATCTGATATGTTATTAGTGGTCATCGCGTCGTAACCTTTGTTTTGCTTGTGTAGAGCGCGCGGCTTGACCTTTCTGTACTTCCAAGTATTTGATTGTGGCTCATTGAATAAGATCTACATATCATAAGATAGCAAATTTAGTATCTGTATACTTCATATTATTTCGAAACCCTTCCCTTCCTGTCTTGTATTTGTGATTGTCTTCTTGTTTTACTATGGCAAGTCAGATATACAAATTGTTATCTCAATTTGGTTGTCTACATTGATTTTTTGTGTTTTTTGTCCTACACATATCAAAATATTCTTTATGTTGACTCAAGTAGGTATGCCCTTACCTTGTGTTTGCGTGCAATGGCTTGGCTGTGTACATGAGTAAATTAAATGTTTGCGCCCTGAAGCTGATCTTGTGGACCACGTTGTGCAACACTTCAGGGTTGAGTATCCTTCCCTTAGGATACCAAGCATGTAACAGTCTATGAACATGAATATTTTTTTGATACCATGCAAAATATTTTTGTATGCCATATGCTATTAGTAAGCTTATCTTGCAATGTGTTGTCTAACTCACTCCCAATACAAGGTGCGTGATAAATCAACTAGATTACTTAAATCAACTCGTGTGTCATACAATGCAAACTCTGGAAATGTGAAGTGCAACAGTACCTCATTGTAACCACGGACCGGGTCGTCGCGGGGCGTACTACGATCCAGACAAAGTGTAACAAGTTTGTTAGTCACCGTGATTCTGAGTTGTTTACCTGGTTATCTCATTATATGTGACTGACCAATAATCCATTATATCGTGCAACTTGTTTTCAGTTGGTCTTCTTCATACAAATATTCAATCGCGGTTTGTGATCCTCCAACACCCTGTATTAGGTGACTCGAGTATGGTATTTCATATTCGCACTATCATGCAAAACGATCAGGAGTTTCCGCACAATCAGTGTGATGGCTTTTATGACTAAGAATGAAAAGTACAATACACGAACGTATTGGATTCTTTTCAGCGGATACGCATCTCATAAGCGCCACTTTTTGAATCATCCCCGACACCGTGATAATTCCAGCCGCTGCCACGGATGATACGTTGTATATGTCTGCGAGCTATGGATAATCATACCGATGTCTCCGATTATGCATTTCGGTTTGATTGTCTTATTTTCTCTACGTTTTTAGGATTATGTATTAGATATCATACACAATTGAAAATTGCCTTTTATGCAGTTATATGTATCAATCTGCTGATTCGCGTCCAATAATTGCCTCACAATCCAATAGGCAGTACGAATTTATGATCGTTCAAACCATACGAGTTGCCTGATAGGCGGTGTTGTCCGTTATTGATTGCGGTACTTTTACCTTGTGTCATGCGGCGTGGTTTATGAAGATACATTATCACGGATAGTCCTTCAAATGTCATGTACAATTTTGTCACACGGCACGGGTTGAGGCGTGATTTTGACAATTGGCCGGTTTATGGATGCACATTTTTGCTCCTTTTTTTAACATGAGGTTGTTTGTTGTAAATGAAATCGCATGATAAAGACCAATTTGATATTTTGATGGGCTTGGTGTCCTCCTTGTGACAAATTTAGTATTGTCTCACTCATACATACCCTGCTTACACTTATTCTTCTCGCAATTCATCTCAATTTGCCAAATGCCTCCTCGTCATCGCGAAAAGGGGTTAGCGGTGCCAGAAGAGATTTACGGATCTGAAGTAAATTTGTTGTATCGGTTCAGTCAAGAAATGCCTTACGATGTGGGTCCTGATGATAGTTGTACCGGTTGTGGTGCATTCAGGTGGAAAATTGAGCGGCGTCAATCGGACGCAAATCGTGCTCGAGCTTCTTTTCGCAATTGCTGCAAGCATGGGGCAATTGATCTCCCTCTTCGTTATTTTCCTGCCGATGTTGGTGAACAAATTCCCCAATTCTTTCGTGACCTACTGAGTGGGCGTGATAGACGTGAGCACTTTTTGATATTTTGTGTTTGCTTCGATTGTGGATAGTGTTGTGACTCTATTGCTACTCAATACAGGTTCGTGTGGGTTTCGCGAGAAAATTCAAAATTATAACAATGCGCTTTCATTCACTTCGATGGGAGTAAAGATGAACAGGACCGTTCTTGACGGTCGTGGCCCGTATGTATTTAGAATGCACGGTGGGATAACTCATAATATAGGATCGTTGATGCCCTTGGATGGAACAGATCCAGGTTTTGCTCAAATATTCATTTACGGTGGTGGCGGTATGGACGAAGCCAATCTCCGCGTGCGACGTAGCAATTCCAACATCAATCCCAACATACTGTTCCTATTTCAACAATACATGTATGAACACAATCCTTATGCACGTGTATTCAAGTCGGCCGCCGAGATATGCAACGAGTCTCGTGAAATTCCCCGTACCCTGAGGATTAAGACTATTTTAGCTCCCGGCAGGGATCATCGTCGTTACAACAAACCGACGGCCAATGAAGTCGCAGCAATTATAGAAGGTGATGGGCAAGTGGGAAAGCGTCAGCGCGATATCATCTTGAGAAGGAAGAGCGGCGAGACAGAACCTATTTCTGAATTGCACACGGCATACTTTGCGCTTCGGTATCCATTGTTGTTCTTGCATGGCTCACAAATGTGGCACGAGGCATACAGGAATCCAACCCCTAAAAGTAAGTCATACCGCACCTGATTTTATGGTTGTGGTTGTCGCGCATCTGATTTTTTCTGGCGGATTTCTTAACTTAGATAAATCGGGTAAAATTTCAAACTTGCAATGGTTTGCGTACCTTCTTTTTCAACGTCCTGCGTATTTGGTTATACTAGCCTCCGGCCGATTGTTTCAAGAATTTGCTGTGGACATGTATGTTTGTGTTGAGCACTCCAGGCTCCAATACCTTTGATACAATCAAAAGAAATTACGAGCTGAGGTATATAGTGGCGCGGTAGAGGCTCTAGGTAATGAAGTGGATGAAGAGGTGGTAGGGAAAAGAGTTGTATTACCGTCAAGCTTTATTGGAGGACCAAGGAGCATGCAACAGCTATACCAGGACTCAATGACTTTGGTGTCCAAATATGGCAACCCAAGTCTCTTCATCACGATGACTGCTAACCCAGATTGGCCTGAAATTACAGACACCCTTGAGGACAACCAGACTTCATACGACAGGCCAGATCTTGTTGCGCGGGCTTTTTATAACAGGTTCCACAGCATGCTGCATGATGTGACAAAATTCGCTAGATTTGGAGAGTGCCCTGCTTATGTTTATACGATCGAATTCCAGAAGAGAGGTTTGCCGCACGCCCATCTGATACTTTTCCTACATCATGGTTCAAAACCCGATACACCTGAACAAGTCGATTGCCTAATTTCGGCACAGCTACCAGATCCTGTCCACGAACCTTTGTTGTACGAATTGGTCACGGAAAACATGTTGCATGGACCTTGCCAATTGTACAAGTGTTGGACTGGATCGGATTGCAAACTAGGTTACCCAAGGCCATTTACCGAACATACAACTTTGACAGACTCCTCTTACCCTTGCTACAAACGACCCAACAATGGCCAATTTTTCCAAAAAGGTGTTGATCGATTTGACAATGGGAGTGTTGTACCACACAATCGATTTCTGCTTCTAAAGTACAAATGTCATATCAATGTTGAAGTCGCGCACAGCATCCGGGCAATCAAGTATCTATTCAAGTACATTCTCAAAGGTCACGATCGCACAATGGCAACTGTCGAGTGTGAGGACACAAAGGACGAGATCAAGGCTTTTTTAGATGCTCGATTTTTAAGCGCTCCAGAAGGTTATTAGTTTCATTAATTCATGCTAGATTCTCTTGCTGACTAATGTTTGTAGCGGTGTGGCGTTTGATGATGTATGAAATGTCAGGTAGATTTCCTGCTGTGCAGCGACTAAGTCTGCATCTGGAAAATGGCCAAACAATCTATTTTGTGGACGAGAATGGACTACGACGGTCCCTCGAGACAGGCCGTGCCGAGCGGACAACTTTGACCGAGTTCTTCCGTCTGTGCCAAGAGAACATCGAGCTACCGTTTTCACCTGGGACTGTTCGATCCCTCAAGTACCACGAAGTACCTAAACATTTCACTTGGGACGAGGATGATCTTATCTTCACTGCTCGCAAAAATTCAGTCATATCTATAGGGCGCGTTTACTTTGCAAACATAAAACGTGGTGATGTTTACTTCCTTCGTTTGTTACTCTGTCATGTGCCCGGTCCTACATCTTTCGCGTATTTACGTACTGTTAACGGTATCACTTATAATACCTTTTGTGAGACTGCAGACAAATTGGGGCTTTTGCTGGATGATAGAAACTATCACGAATCTTTAAATGAAGCGGCAACGTGGCAAACTGGAAGACAGTTGAGACATATGTTTGCTATCATACTATGTCACAGTTCACCTTTGAATCCGCGTGATCTGTGGACTGGTCATGCGGACGACATTTGTGACGATTGTGAACATGCAATACTCAAATTGAATCCTAATGCAAACCCTTCTCGAGAGCATATTCATAATTACGGCCTTCACCTACTTGAAAAGACATTACTGAAGACGGATACGAATCTAGAGGATGTTGGCTTACCTCAAGTTGATACTTTCCTGCTTTTTCAACTTGGACTACCGGATAGCCATAGACTGGATGTAGACAAGAGGATTGATCCAACTGAAAGCGCTCGCAAATTTGATTCCATGCTACGAACATTGACTCGCGAACAGCATGCAGTAATTACACCTATTCTTACAGCTATTGATTCAAGTCAGCCATACTTAGCTTTTCTAGATGGGCCAGGTGGTACTGGCAAAACCTTTGTGCTGAATTGCATATTGCATTATTGCAATGCGAATACTGTGGAGTTCCAGGCGGTTTCGGCTGCGGGGATAGCTTCTTTATTATTGTTGAACGGTAGAACAGCTCACAGCGCCTTCAAGATTCCAATTCCGATCTACGATGACTCTCTTTGCCCAGTTTCGCCTGGTGAGATGCTTGGCCGTACGTTGATTGCGACCAGATTCATTGTATGGGATGAGGTAGCGATGCAACATCGTCATGGGATTGAATGTGTCGATCGAACACTCAGAGACTTGACCGGTATTAACCTTCCTTTCGGTGGAAAGGTAGTATTATTTGCCGGAGATTTTCGACAAACTTTACCGATTGTTAGGCGTTCTACTCTCTTGGAACAAGCAAAGGCGACATTGAAAGCATCGTATTTATGGAACAAAATTGAAAAATTTTCGCTCTCCGTGAATATAAGGCTTGGTGGTACAATGGCAGTACCTAATAGGAGTAACATGGACTTCGCGAAGTGGCTGTTAGATATGGGTTCGGGTCATTTGCAGAAAGAATTCGCCGAAAAATTAGTCTTGAAACACTGCAATGTTTCTCTCATTTCTCCAGGCTCGATCATAGATGAACAAGTTCTGAGCACGGAATATGGAGGACTAAATCACTTGATAGATTGCGAAAACTGGCGAGAGTTAACTGAATTGTATTCAAGAAGATGTTTAATCACACCGTTGAATGCTACTGTGCGTGCTTTGAATGAACGGATTATGGAATCCTTGCCTGGCAAGACACATATCTCTACCTCAGTTGATAAAATGGATCAAGCTTTCTGTGATCCGGTGTTGATCGAGGTCTTAAATACTTTCAACTTTGCTGGTTTCCCTGCTCATCAACTGGATTTGAAAGTTGGAGCGTCTGTAATGGTCTTGCGCAATCTGCATCTCACGGATGGGATTTGCAATGGTACAAGACTGCTGATAACGGAATGTAAACCAAATGCTCTACATTGTCGAATATTGACAGGAAGGTAATGCAATCAGTCTACCTAAGATGACATTGCATCATCAAGGTAACAAAGAATGTCCTATACCTTTTTACCGACATCAATTTCCTGTTATGCCAGCGTTTTGTATGACTATCAATAAGAGCCAGGGTCAAAGTTTGGATAGAGTCGTAGTGCTATTGCCAAAGCCGGTCTTCTCACACGGCCAGCTATATGTGGCCTTATCCCGTTGCACAAATGCGTCCAATGTGCAGGTTTGCATTCCATCAAGCCCAGATGGAATATGTACAACTAACATCGTATTTCACCCAGTTTTGGAATTCTGAATCTCTACACAAGTAAGCTTCATGTTTTTCTCTTGATCCTACCACTCTTTTAGGTTTGTGTTAGTGGTTACTTATGTTGATATTTGTTGTTTATCCCGGTGTTAACTGATTTAGTTGTCCTACCATTTTTCTTGGTTTGTGGGTCACTTTTTTCCTGTTGATTGTTTATTAATGTCCCTGGTCGTCTTTCATGTGTATTGTTTTGTTGTGATTCGTGATAAATTGATCACATTACTTATGTCTATTTTTTGAAACACTTTATTGATGGTTTATTTAATGTTGCAGCAGTCCGCGAGGCATATGATTGTCTAATTGATTTGGTTGTTGCTCGAGTATATTTTCAAATGTAGTACGTTCTGCCAACTTATAATATATCAGTTATATCACCAATCCATGTTTTTTGTTCGGTTTATTTTTGATCTTTTTGCCCTTGTTACCCACTGCTACGTTCAATTGAACAAACGAATTATTATTGACCTTAGCTGTCATCAGGCTATCCTGTGACCGAATACAAATCTATCTGTTGGCAAGTTGTGGATAGTTGGGGCACAGGTCGCACCAAATATATGGGTATGAACTTAAACTACCTCTACATTGCGTTTGTGCAATGGAATGATCGGACCAACTTACAGAGGACGATCATAGTAAATAAGCCAGTGTAACTTTTTTGTCATGTGTTGGCTGTGGCAACTTTGGAATGTGCTTGGTTTTCACCGCATTGAAATCGTTAACGATTTCGTTTGTTGTAGTACATCATCTTGAATTTTTCAACCTATCTTCTTGGATTCCAACAACGCTTCATGAAACGGCCACATCTTCATTGTTCTACTCAATACCCAATGGTTTCGATACGCCCCATTTGTTTCTTGCTCTTCCACCTATCTCCCTGTCAAAACCGGGATGTAGAGTCCAAAGTGGATACGGAGATTAATCAAGAGCAATCGATCCCTATGATGAACTCGTTTGGTGTCGCCCCAATGCTTGGTGAGCTTTTGTTATTAACTCGATGATTTTATGGCATCTTGATTCACTCTTACTGCATCGAGATTCTTATTGACTCACAAAATGTTGTCGTCCAAGTCAATAACTTTACCTGTTGAATTAGTGCATATGATTCTCTCTCATCTCGTAGACAAAATCCCTTTTTTTCCTCCGAACGAATCAAACAGTGCCAATATCCGATTCTCAGATTTCAACTCTGCGGTTTGTTTTCTTTGTCTCCGATTGCTAGGGAAATCTTGGAATATGGCAGTATTACAATATGTCTATAACTCATTGCTCATTATGAAGGCCATCAACGCGCGAAAACTGGTGATTATGTGGAAAACTCCGGCGTTCATGACGAGCACATTTCGGTTGTCAAATCTTGGCTTAACTAATATTCACTATGTCGCTGATTGTGTTACGGTCGGTGGTCATCGATTACTGAGTTTCAACTATCATTATACCAGAGATGTGGCTTTATACGATATCAGTGGCCTTATGATCCCAATTGATGTAGTGGAGGATCTCATTACTTTGTGTGGCAAGACTTTATTAAGTCTTTGTTTAGGTTTTTTTGCTGCAATGGGTTTCTCCGCTGGAATGATAAGTGGCTTGGGACGTGTTCGTGGTCTCGAGGTATTGATCATAGATGGTAGCCGCATGCGAAACACTATTAATGACTGCCATTCATTGCGAAAATTTCTGAGCTTGTGTCCTACCTTACGGTCTCTTTCGATTCGATGTGCTTTTCTCAATAGTCTGACTGTACAGAATGATTGTTTGCCAAACCTGTGTCACTTATGGGTAGAATGTGATCGTAAGAATGTTGACGCGATTACTGAATTCTGTCGCACAGGTGGAATGCACATCAATTTCTTGGAATGCCTAACGCCTGCACAGCCAGCATATTTGGCTCGGAGCCAAAAATCCGAGGATTCCTCGGATTCTGACTCCGAGTTAACCCCTATCCAAGGATCCAATCCGAGGCAACGGCCAGGGCCAACATTTGCCTCGGAATTAGCCCTCGGGTGCCATTTTCCTTGGGGGCGCTGTCCAAGGACTCCTCGGACGTTTGTCTCGGAGCCAAATATGCTGGCAGTGCTGATGGGACAGAGCAATCAGGGCAATTAATTATGGCTTTGAAAGACTCAATCGAAATCTTGTTTTTTAATTGCATCTCAGATGATTTACCTATTGATATATGCACCTTCACGTTTCCCCGTCTCCGGGTTATCCGATGCTCAGGATGGAAGTCTTTCAAATATAATTTATTTTGGCTGCAAGGTGGTTTATTTGATGAGATGGAATTATTGATCACCGATTATTCCAATGGTAGCAAGTATTGGCGCAAGGCTTTGAAGCGGGCGGACATTCATACGGTTAGGAAACCTACAAAATTCAAATATATAGTTTTTACTACTTGGCATGGTTGTGAGGAGGAGGATGCAGAATTAGTGCGCCTATGCGCTGACTTCGGAATCGAATGTTTATTTAGGCATGTGTTAACATATAAGCAACTATTGGTATGTTTAATGTCTTTTAATTTTTGTTACGTTCTTTGAACTGGTGATTAATACTTTGTCTTACGTGCCTCCAGGATTATAAATTTTTTTTTGGCGATATCCTTGTATCGTAAGTTATGCGAACTTTGGAGATAATTAGTTTTTGAAAGTAATGCAGTAAGGATATTCTGTTTGTGTCATATTGTTTTCCACTCTTATTACCTCGCTCATGTAAACATCATTTTCTTTTTTATGATAGCAGCATAGGGTTTTTGTTGATAGGGGATGTTGTAATCAGGATCTGGTGCGGGTTTATTATGACAATGAATCAAATAATCATAGGTGATTTTTTTTTTGAGCGTTAGAATATTTGGATCATATTGTAAGTTGATGGAACGTATGATTTACAAGACTTGTATATTGCAGACGTTAATTCGTTTATGATTGCGACTTGTGTGCGTCGATAATGTTGAGTCCAGGGCTTTTGGCCAACTATATTACATTTTCTATTTGTTTGTTGTATGAGGAGTGATAATGGCATAAAAAATGATTTGTCCTTGATTCCTTGATGTACTCGGTTTTGGAATTTGCAATGGCGTTTTTAGGCCATTGGTAATCCAGCATTGGGATTTTACTCATCCGCCCCTTTGCATGATTTTTACGTCACCATTGTGGGCCTGTGCTTCTACTATGTGACTTGGGTATAGAATGCTTACAATGGCCGGTTTATTGCGAGGTTGCCCCAATTCTTAATGTGTATAGGTATACAACAGGTATTGAATGTAGTGAAGTAGTTCTGGTTCTTCAGCATCAAGAACGTCACGCACAATGTTGGTATCTGACTCGCAGCTGCTGCCTATCAAATTTGCCAAGTTGGTTTTCTTTTGTCAAGAGCCGTGTTTGTTCCTGTCCTCCTGTGTTAATTAACTCTTTGTTTTGGTCATTAGGGATAGCATATGTTGGAACCCATGCCCAATTATCACGAGGGTTGTTTTATTCTGGTATTATGTGTTTCCTTGGGCGTTATATTTGCTTTCTATGACACGTGTCGTGGCGGGGCCTTCCGGCAAAGGAACGTGGTGTGATTTGATACTGGTGTAGTGTTGAAAACTGGATACACAGACTATGCGGAATTGATCTGCATGGTGTGATGTGTATCATTCATGTTGATTCCGCCCCAATTATTTTTGTGCGTATCCTCCGTTTGATGGATTGCTTGATGTTCTATCCTGGTAACATTGTTTTTGTGGACTTTCAACAGGTACAATTTTCTTTGGGGCTAACTTCCTTATTCCTTATTTTGTGTGTTATTTATTGGTGTTAACTGACATCTTTATTGATTATAAGGTTGACAATTTTGGGCCTTGTTCGTCGCATTATCCTATCCACTATTTCAAATCATGAGGCCTGGCTCAAACTATTTACCTGTAGAATTAGTGCAGTTGATTCTAGGCCACTATATGCGCAATATGCCATTCCATCCTTCCAGTGATTCGAATACCGTCGATGTTGCGTATCTCGACTTCTCGTCTATTAGGGGTCTACTTAATTTACGTTTTCTAGGAAGGTCTTGGGCTGTTGCGATATTGCCTTTGGCCTATCGTTCCTTGTGTCTATTTAAGTCATCAAGTGCCAGTAGTTTCGTTATGATGTGGAAGAATCCGTTGTCAATGCCTAGCATGGTTTATCTACAACGTCTATGTTTAGCTCATGTACAATTCTTACCTTGTCATATGGAAAACGATTCAAGCCTCAAAAGCCGATCATCTTATCGAAGTCAGGTCATCTCGATTAATACCGGTCTCTCCGATTACGTCATTCAAATGGATGTTGTGACAGATCTCGTTGCTTTGTGCAGCTCTACGCTCGTCGATTTGAAACTCTCTTATAGGGAAGCTCTTGGCTTTTCAAAACCATTGATAGATGCTATGAAGGGACTAACGAAACTCAAGGTGTTGATTCTCGACAGTAGCAGTGTGGCAAGCACTCGTAACAACAGCGATTCCTTGCGACAGGTCCTCAACTCATTGCCTTCCTTGGAGTCTCTGTCTATTGGGTGTGCATCTTTCGATGATCTGACCTTGCAAACTGGTGCTTTGCCGAATTTACATCATTTGTGGGTGGAGTGTAACTCGAATAATGTGGATGCAATTACAAATTTCTGTCGTACTGCAGGAAGGAATGTGAAATTTTTCGAGTGCCGGACTCATCGTGACATGAACAAATCAAGTGATATGATCTTGGCCTTACGGCCTTCACTCAAAATTCTGTCTTTGGGATTTATTACACATGTGATACCTCTTGCTATAGGGGTTGAAGTCTTCCCTCGACTCCGAGTGATACGTGCAGTCAATTGCGACCCGCAGCATTCGAATCTCTCTTGGTTATTATGGCGTATGTTTGACAAAATGGAGTACTTCATCACAACTTATCACGAAGGAGGTAGTTATTGGCGCACAGCTTTAAAACGTCCCAATGTTCATTCGCTCCAAAAACCTCGCAATTTCAAATACATTATTTTCACTTCATGCCATGGCTCAGGCCAAAAGGATCCGGAGTTGGTGGAGCTATGTGCTCAATACGGCTTATTGTGTATTTTCAGACATTGATTATCAATGCCGGATTTATTGGTACGTGCTCAGTGATCATTATATCACTTGCAGCTTAAGTCTGACTTTGTCTTCTGTATATACAATGTGAACAGAATTTGCTTAATGAGGTGAAAAGCGATCCTGTCTTATGATTTGTGAGGCATTTTTTTCTGCTTTATCTCTTGGTGATCTATAAATACATTCAATTTTGGTTTTTCATATGTGAAGGTTATCTGAATTTTTTGATTTCTTTTGCTTAGTCAAATTTTTTTTCTGTTACCCCTTGACATCGGGTGTTGTGAAGTGTTACACGGTGGCTGTGGTATTGCTGCGGAATTGTTATAGTTTTGTTGACAGTCAGGAGGATTGTCCTTGGTTAACTGTGCTTAACTTGTTAAACTGGTGATAATTATCTGTTGTGGGCACGTATTTTAGAACATATGGCTTTGATGTGCAGATAAAATTATGTTTGCTTGTTGCTTCCTTTTATCATGTGATTTGGTGTCTTTGCGAGTAATTTATCTTGTGCTCATTATCAGATAAAATGACTGTACCTGATTTTGACCTGGTGTGAGTTTTCCAAGTGTAGTTTTGATTTGGCCCCAAAGTAGAGTGGCGGCGCCCGCCGCAATTTGCTAGTAATGTCTATTTGCTACATGTATCTATAGATCACCATAAATATGTTGTTATTTGACCATTTACTTGCTGCAACAGCATATCATGCCTGTCTACCTAAAAGCCATCTCCAGTATTCCACTTTCAACCTGGATCCATGATTATTCCTCTTCACATGACATACTCATTGGGAACACTCCAAGTTCACTCATGCAGTTTGCACATAGCATGGGTAAAATTCCTTCCTGTTATTGACAAGGAATAAGAGGGAAACCCCTTGAGTTTTCAAAATTTTGTACCATGAAAGGGATAAACAAGAACAAAGGAAGCTGGTTCACATATATCATTTTGTGCACATCAATCCCTGAAGCTGTTGATTCCATCCTTGTCTCAAATTTGGAGAAATTGGTCATTTAATATTATTACTACTTCCATATCTTGGTTTGTGTCTCTGAAGTATCATGAATCTTGTTAAATCCTAGTAGCAAGGCTCACAAATCACAATAAACAGGGTTAAGGGAGTGTATGATGTGTTTTAAACTTGGGTCTCTGTATTCTTGTTATGATCTTGACTAGATGTTCGGCGCCCAGCCGCCAAATTGATATTATCCTAGTGTGCTGAGTATTTTCATTTCATGATCATGACTGTGTCACCATTTACAAACAAACTTATCCTTGGTTTACCATTTATTCTTGTTCATCTTGTGATGATCTTATCAAATTCACTATGGCCATCTTTTTCTGGATTTCTACAATAATTTAATCTTCTGTCTGTAATGGTTATCATTTATCAATCAAAGTTGACTAGCATTTAAGCGGTGGGTGCCACTGTTGAGAGAATGAATTGACAATCCAGGTCAAAAAAATTGACTATGATTTGAAGCACCTGTTAAAATTTGGCACATGCAAGATTGGAGAATAAGATAACATATCATCAGGCACCCAAAGTAAGCGGAACTATCACAGTGAAAAAGGCAGCTGAAGGCTACATTGAATGGCACACAAGGAAGCCAAGTCATAATTGATACCACAATCAGTAAACACCAAGACAAAGAACAGCAACACAATTGCATTCCCAACAAACAATTAATATAACCAATTGGCAACACAAAAGAAAAAGAAGAAGAAATAGGTGCGGCACAGCCACCTTCAACCACCAAAGAAACAAATAAGATAGAAACACACACAAAAACCAGAAGGAAAAAAAGATGAATTGTGAAAAAATTGATATAATAATTACTCAAGCTATATAGTGCATGTCAAGTAGAAGGATTGTCACCTTAAAAATTCAAGCACCATCAAAGAATTGAACTACTACTACAAATCAATCTCAAAGCAAGGACAGAGTGTTCAACTTAGTCTTCCAAACCAACACCACTGGTAAGATCCTGAAAATACCCAAAAAGAAATAGAGGTCAGGACGGGAAAATCTCAAGATTTATAAAATTACTTACCAACAACTGCTGGGTTGTCACTTCATATCTGAATAAGCACTTGATTTTCTTGGTGGAAAATAGCGCTACAAGGGAGTCGTTTGCAGTCTTATTACCATTCCAACTGATAAAGATGATGTACTTGAGTTTAGGAGGAAAGTAAATTGGTATTTTGTCAACCTGTGACATCACTCTCTGCCAATAACTTCTTCCATGCCAATAACTGGTAACGCAAATTTCAAGAGAACTGAAGATAGGCCGTCGTAACCACAACAAACAACCAACATAAGTAGTAGCATGAATGCTGCAAATGATCTTGAGATTTGGAAAATGTGTATCTAAGACAAAAAATTTGATCTGATCTGGGACTGTATTGACAAAAAGTATCTCAAGAGAGTGCTTCAATGCCACAATCATATAACCACACAAAGAATGAGATTCTGGTGACAAACACTCACAGAACCTTATGTTCCTGCCTGTAGTTTGGCAGAAATCAATAAAAGCTAGATGAGTTTTGATGTAAGCAGGGGCAAAAAGTCTTGGAATACGGTCTGAGTTGGGAAGAGCAAACAAGTTCAGAATCTCATCTTAAGTCTGATAAAGATAACAAGAAAGACTATAAGAAAGTAAAATAGGTCAGACTAGGTCACAAAGATCCAGATTGAAGAATTAAAGAAAATAGTTCACTCACAGTCTTCTTTTCATTGATGGGAAAAGAAGACTGATGGAAGATAACTTGTTGTTGTATATATATGTACAAAGATTGAGGTAAATCTCCTATAAGCATAATATGATATATGCTTGTGTCAATTGAATCTCAACAGAGTGCTGTTTTTTGAATGAAGAGACTGTGCCACCCTTTGACCCATCCAGAAGCAGAGAGTTGAGTATCAAATCAGGTAAAAACAGAGCATGGCCCAAGCACAGACGTTGCAATTCATGAGTGCTCGAAATCATGGACGTTGTAGAACTTAAAGCTCAACAAGAGCTTTACAGAGCTTAAAGAGGGATAATCTACTAATAAAGTATCTAGTAGAAGTTGCCTAAGACTGCCTCTTTGAAAGAACCAACACGGGGTTTTGCTGAATTCTTTGGGATAAGGCACCAGAGAAATATGTCTCAATACTTAATTCAAGTATTATTCCCGTGAGTTTTAGAAATAAAGAAATCTCAACACTATTGTAGTGTTATTCCAATTTGAACACAACAAAACACAATTTTAATTACTAGCAAGCAACAATCAGTTTGATTGTTATTCCAAATGAAGACTTGTAGTCTTATCACACGTAAAGAAATCTCTCCTTTGATGTAAAGGGGCTATTTAGTGAACTTAGTACTGGTAAAGTAATTTAATAATGATTAAAAACATTCTAACAAAAGTATAAGATGAGTAAAAAGGGGAACAAAGGCCCGTAAAATCCTTAACAATAGTATATAACTCTCCAACAACCTTCAACAATGGTCAACAACCTCCAAAAACCCTCAAAAACCGTCAAAATCAACAGAGTATCCTCCAATGTAATCATATGATGTCATAAAGATTATTGTTTGTAATGATTCAAGGCGTGAATTTGATCAATTGATGTGAATAAATGATGAACAGATCTTCTTATGATGAATACAGGTGATTTTTTCCTAATATTCATAGCTGAAATCCATTTTTGGAATTACAAATTTTTTGTAAAGTTGTTCAATTTTGGATTACTATAGCTCATTTGATAGCCCTCGTGATTCTGATCATTTATCACCCCTATATCACCTATTTCTGATGTGTGATGAATAAGTTATTGAGTTGTAAAGATTGCAAAAATAAGGTTTTGTCATGTAAATGTCACATGTAACCTCCAAATTCGAAATTCACTCCAGTTTCTTTGTTGCCTTATAACTTTTTCACTACTCCTCCGCTACTAATGATTTAAAGATTGTACATTATGAAAACAATGATTCTGCGTCGAATGAACTATTGCACACCCAATTCTGACAAGTTTTACCATATGTAATTAACTAAAAACTCCCATTTTTGATGAATTTTGACTATTTTCACGTCTAATAATGATTTTCCTTCTATCAAAAGATCATTCCACAGCGCTCCAATCAATCACACAGCACTAAAATCCTTCTGAAAAACTCTTGGCGCAACCAATCCATCAATGACATCACTACACAGGAATTAATACCATAGTACCCTTCTTCGAAATTTCCCTTTTCTTGAATAACTTCACACCTCCCTTATCAATCCTCATGATTAAAGTTGTTGATGACTAATGTGATCCTTCTCTTTCACAATAAAACCTTCCTGAACCAATATCTCTTCTATTAATAAGCTAAAAACCACTTTCCAAGCTTTCATACCCATATTTTCAAATTTTTCTCCAACTTGCTTTATATTCTTCTTCCTCTTTCATTCTTTTCATAACAGTTTCCATTCTTAAAGATCCAAACTAAATGTTCTTCTTCCTCAAATCCCTTCTTACTAATTCTCTTAATATGATTTTCACTCTTTTACTATTTTTATTGATCTTTTCGAATTTTTCTTTGCTCTTAAATGATCTTATCAATTGCTTATGTAAATATATATTCTGAAAGATAATGAAATGAAAATAATGAATCAACTTTAATAACCTTGATGACTAACAACCTCAATAATAATAGTGCCTTTGACCAAAAACTCGAGTTTCCACATAATTTTTAAATTTTTTTGCTTAAGTAGAGATCTTGCTCACCACAATGTCATTCTGGACATCATCACCAATGACTTGGACATGTTAGGAGTAATCAAGTTCAAAGATTCATTAATAATCACCAGTTCCAACAGACACAATCTGCTAAGTAAACAAAGACTAAGAATTTCCTTGATAGCAGTATGATTAACAAAAGGCCTATCAGTGCTATTTAAAGGGTCCAAAGGTGTTAAAGGCAAATCTAAAACTAAATAAGACATAATCAATCAAATTACTTCAGCAGGCAATG